CATTTGACTATCTTGGCATTAGACAAATTGAAACTGGGCTGTAGGTCGGTGATATAACTCCTGGTTTAGTATTCGTTATTAGTCCGGGTAAAATTCACCCAAAGTATTTTAGTCAACTCTCATCTTTCGCATAAATATGGGTAAAAACAGCGTCGTTTAGATCCTGCTTCAGAAGATCTTAATCTCAAAATAAGCACGCATGATTCGCTAAGTATCTACATGTATGATCTCATTTTGGAATGCTTAAACTGGATAATGAATTAAGGAGATGCTTACAAGTCGAATTTAAGAGCAATGGATATTCCATTTGTAAGACTTTTTATGACATTCATCTTAACCCAAACAGACTGATGAAGTTTAAGCACGAGAACAAAACAGCAATATCTCCATTTCTATTTACCATTTGAAAGGTTTTGTGAAGGTTTGAGTCCCTTGTTTATTATACAAAATACATAGGTCAGAGAGAATTAAACTACCAGTTTACTTTGTTATTAGAGAATCGCATATCACATCGCGTGTATAAAACTTTGTCGGTTTGCATTTTATACAGCGAAATATTAATATTATGGGAACTTTTTTAAAAATAGTAATTAAGAAAATCTTACTCTATCAGTTGTAGTTTTACCCTTTAAAAAAGTTTCTTTCCGTGAGACCAATATAGTCAAGTTTTAGTTTCAGACTGAAGACAGAAGTAGACTGAAATGTTTTTGCTTGGCCAGCCTTAAACCTCGATTTCAAGTATATCTCGCAAAAGCCAAAACTTTTCTAGTTAATTAGTCAATAATAATAAATGATGGCAAAAACCCCTTTTGTTCAACCGATTTACCCCGGTATCCTTTAAAAAAAATTATAAAAACGGATGAAGATGTCCTTTTACTAAGTGGTGAGGCGTTGCTTTTAGCTACTAAAAGTTCAAGTGAGCACTAACGGTTCGTAAAGTAAAACTTCTTTCCGCCACTTTAAAATAACATCACTGAAGCTTACTGAGAGTCATGCCTCACTAAATATTACTTTTTAAGAAAGTTTGTTAAACTTTCATTATATTTATTTCATAATGAGTTACTTACCAAGTTAAACTTCTCCTTGTCAAATTTACTCTATACTATCACACGAGATCACTATGCATTATACCTTATTTCATACCCACTCGTTAAATCTAGGAATGCTTTTCAAATTATTACGTGCGCGAGGCATACTTATTAACCCGGAAAGATGGACGTAAAACAATTTTTCTCCGTGGTACAGAAAAAAATTTAATCTTTATTTTCATTTTAAATTATTGTTAAGTTTGTTAAATTAAATACTCTCAATTATCTAGTTGCACTTAGGCGATAGGCCCTTATATTTTTAAGTTGTTAAATTTTATATATATGCATAAAGACACTTTTCTATTAAAAGTTAACAAGCCTTTATGTAAAGTTAATAACCAAGGATTGGGATTTAATAGGTTTTAATTAAATAATTGAAGGCAATTCTTTAAATTATCGTTGTAGATTTAATACCTAATGAAAAATTAATGTTACAAACTTTTAATGGCTACACTTATCTTATACGAACCTGTATTTGCATTTTAAGTAAAATTCGTTAAAATTATTATCTTTTGTGCGTTGAAAATGGAAAACACTTTGTTAACTTTAAAATTACATTCGAGAATGCGTACTAATGTTTTCATATAAGTTAATTTTCAAAGTTTTAAGGGAATCCTTATATGAATGGGATGTTTAGGCTTAATTGTTACAGTGTCACATACTAATAGAATATTTTTATTTAATTCCGGAAAGTTTAGCTTTCACAAAAGGAAAAGTTTTTAAAGACCTACTTAGAAAAACCACAATATGCTCAAAATTCTCATTTCGAGGATGGGCTTGAGCGCCAAACAAAAGTTTACGGTCAACCTAAGGAGAATTTATAGAAGCTTTCTGGAGCTAGCAAGCGTGCTTAATTAAAAATATAGGGAGCACAAAGCCCCGACAAAATTTGCTCGCCGGCGCTACTACAATTTTTTCTCTTCGAGTTATAAACACATATCACATCCTAGGTTTTCTATAACCATTGTATGTCCTAACCGATTTTTATCAGTCAACAAAACAAAAAAAAAAATTTAAAAATACGGTATGTTATATACATATTTAATTTACTCTAAATCTCTTTACCTTTAATAATCCCCAAGAAAAAATTAAGTAAAAATTAAAATTACAAATCCTATTAATTTTTTTTTAATTTTAATGTAATAAGCATTTAAAAAAGTGAACTTGTTTCCTCAATTATACTGAATCCCTTTCCACTACCCACACATAATTTCTTAACTTTCAAAAGTTGCTGTTTTAGTTAGGCCATAAGAGGTAGGGAAGTGCAATATTAAAAAAAAAACCCTCGAATAAATTTAAATGACTTTATACACTCTATATCTAATTTCATTAAGTACGGCCACATTTATTTACGGTCAAAAGTAATTTTCTAGTAAACCTGCTTAAAAAGTTTTTCCCGCATAGTTTTTGAAAAACCCAACAGTATTTCCTTTTCTTTGCTGTTCACTTTGCAAGCCTTTTAAGTTATATATCAAAGAGTGACATAACGCACTTTCGTTCTTATACTTTTATAATAAAAGATTTTGATAAAGTTTAGTATAATATTGGTAGTCCTGACTTCCTTAGCGCACTCTTTTTTAATGTAACTTCCTGTCTCTAACAAATACTTGCTATTTTTTTATATTTTGTGTTAATATTAATATTAACGTTGCCTAGTTAAAACAGATTATTCTTATATATAAATGGTTAAAGTTCACTATGTTATTTATAAGAGTTGTAGTTTAATTATTTCTACGTCATCTAAAGCATATTTACTTAATGTTTTTTTTTTTGTACAGAATTTAATTTTTGACAGAAAAATTACACTTGTTTTACTACTTGAAAAAAGAACTATTAATTGTTTAATGGTCTTTTCAGTTTAAATGGTTTTTTATGCCCTGCAGTATTCGGCATGCTTTATAGGTATAAGCATTTTGTTTAGGCTGGTAATTTTTAGAAGAGTTTAATTTATTCTTAGCTTAATTTCATAACTTCTGGGACTCCTTTTTTTATCTAGCTATCCTACTATTAGGGGTTTTAACTCAATTTTTTATTGTGTATTTTAGAGGTGCCAAAACCAAAAATAAGACCTGCTAAAAAAAATAAAGTTATCTACTAACCCGCGGACAAAAAAAAAAGATTTATAATAAAGCCGACTCTACTACTTTTATACATTTATGTGTACTTTTGTGCACCTGCTTTAACAAAGATTTTTTACCAAAACACTGTAATTATAATTTATGTTTCCTTCGTTAAAAAAAATTCATTGTTTAAGATCCACATTGAATAAAAGAATCCTTTTTGGCCCGGCGGTTGTAATGCACCCACAAACTAGGCTCACTCGAATCTTTGTGCCATACTTCTGAAGTCGTTGTTTAAATTGTTAATTAGAAATTATAAAGATAGCTAACTTAGTAAGCAAAGAGAAAAAATAATTATTCCAAAAACTTTTGCCCAGGCAGATATATCCATAAAGACAAACTGGAAAAAAAAAATTCTCCTTTAAAACCTCTAAGAAAACCAAAATAGCAAAGACAAAATTTACATGTTAAGGCAAATGTGGACTATACGCAATAACTTGCCATATAGAAGGTTGACCGTACGAGCAACTAACATTAAGTTACCATTAGAAGATGTTTTGTAAGTTAACTAAAAGCTGAACGAATCAAAATAAAATCAATACTACTCCGATGCTTTAACATTAAATCATGGTACAAGTACGGAAATCGGTAGTTAATTCGCAGTTAAAAGCCTTAACCACAGCTTTAGTTAATATGCTTGGACTTTCAAATAGCATAGGGAAGTGAGGACGACCGAAAAAGTGAGCCGCTTCTGCTTTAAACCGCCGAGCTAAGTGAATGAGGTAAATCATTAAAGGATTTTTGTAGAGCAGTGGGTCTCAACAGGTTGAGCGTGAACCACAGATGGTTCGTGAGACATGAAAAAGTGGCCCACCAATTCATATTTAGAAAAAACTAAAAATGGGACTAATTGCAACTTCTAAGGAGGGGGAACGCTAGACACTAAACAGTTGGCAATAAGGTTTTGTGATGTGTCTCCGGTAGAGAAGTCCGAACTGTTAAGTTGGTTAGAAATTTACATTTGTGAAGGTATATGTACCTTGTTCATATTCATTAGCCTCCACCAGGGCTGGGCGAGTTTCATCCAAGAATTTGTCGGTGCAAGAAGCGTACTGCCATCTTGGAGTTGTTTTACTGAGGTGTACTGTGTTACTCTTGTGTGCAAAGCATGCGCCATGGATATTTCTTGTGCAAAACTTTGAGTGCTTTAACAGCAGTGACTGAGAACGTCTCTAAGTTTTTAAAAAAACTCAAAGGTAGCATTATTTGACCTATAAATGACCGCTTTTAACCTGGAAAAACTAAACACGGACTGCTTAAAAGAGAGCTTGCTTGATTGAGCGCGCCTCAGTTCCTGGTTTGTGCAAGCAAGCCACATTTTACGTGGTAATTTGAGGTATAGGACCTACCTGATGCGCTTATTATTAAAACCGTTTATTGTAGCGTCTAAATTGGCATTGTGCTCACGCTAGGGAACCACACTTTACCTAACCTTAATACTGAGCACTTCTTCTTTGAGCTCCCTTTAGGTTGCTCGTAAAAATTGCTTTTTTAGAATGATACACGAGAAGCGTTTTCAGACAGTGGAGCGGTTAATTAAGTAACTACACGTTCAAATAGAAACTTTTCCTGGTACTATTTTAGTTCCTCGCCGTTAAATCGTAGGCTAAGTATCTTTGTATTTAAGGATGTTGAGACCAACTCTTAAAAAATTTTCCAGCTAAACTCTAAACTAAAGCTGAGTACTTCAAAGTCTATAAAAGGTGCTTTGCAATGTCAGTTGTAATTCATTTTTGCATTTTAAAATAAGTGGCTCAAGAAGACAAAAGAAATATATTTTTAATATTAGAGCAAGTCAGTAAACATTCGTAGCAAAAACCAAACCAACTCCAACCTACAGACTAAAGTTTTAGATTACAATAATCAGTTTTTACGACTCTTCCTTAAAGTTGCAGAGAGCCTTTCACAGAGATTACAGTTCTTGCAGCTGGACCTCGCATATAAAAAATTTGTGTTATGCACGTACACCATTTATCCTTTCGTGTTTTATAACCGAAGGAAAAACCCCTAACTGGCGTATATTCTGAAAATAACTCAACTGTAACTAGTTTACACCACATAACAGTTACCATTACGGAACCGGAATGTGTAATACTGGCACATGGATCGAAAATTTGTATCCCGAACTAGTTCTCGGTATTCAAGGGGGAGCCCTCCTTCAGTGCTTCCGCACCTATTCGCTAGTCGAATGCCCAAGTGGACTATTTTTATCTTGAGTTTTATATATTATTCTTTAAATATTATAATTATTAATAACACGTACACCTCTTATTGCTCTACAAGTGTAGATTTTAACATATATGACGATAATAGGCTGATAAAACTCAAATTTTTAGTGAAACCAGTTTCAGCCGATAGCAACCTTGACACATTTCCTAACGCGCTTTGCAAATCAAAGTTAAAGTATAACGCTTATAGGATACTTAATTAACTAAAGGCTAAAGCAAGTGTTAATACCAGAAGGAAAGCACTTTTGCCTGTTAGTACTGAATATGTCAACACGAACACCTGTAAAGAAAAGTGTATTTTCATTAATAATTAAAAGACAAAATGATATACAAGCACAAAGACCGAAGACAGAAATAGTTCACCTCCCCGACTGAACCAGTAGATAACCGCAGGCGCACTAAAAGACTGCTCCGGACGAAGAACTTGTAAACCTCCTTTTATACTCCAATTTAGGATTGATCCTTTCCAGGAATTGGGATCTATTTCCGAGAATTAATTCCAATCTTTAATTTGCATTAGATTAATGTGCATTAGAGTTCCATATATATGGTAATAGTTACGCTGATCATGCAATTAGCCACAATTGGGTTGTTATTTTTACAGAATATTCAATTAACTATAAGGATTTGAGAAAAAAAAATGTTTAGTTGCTCATTCCTATAGAGTCCTTGGTTTAAAGAAAATTTTGTGGGTTATTTTATTTGAGTTCATGACCTCTAATTCTATAAAGTTCATGAGAACGCTACTAAAAAGTTACACAAAATCCGTACCTTCCACTCAACATCATAGGCGGATGTTTCGAATAGCATATTGTATTGTTAATAGAAGTTTAAAGTTTAAGTTTTTTTTTCCTTCATAATAGGAATTTTGTCATCCTTATAATTTAATTCTTCTATCAACTATAATCCGCACTTTAAAATATTAAAAACTAGCAAGGGAAACCTTTGCATATACCACTTTTTTTTCTAATAAGTGGTAACTAAAGTTTATAGGCGAACATACTTCTCCATTAAATTCTTACTACCTGGAGTTTAGCAAAAATAAACTTATTAAGGACTAAATCTTACAACTATCGAGAACCTCAGTTTTACATTCAAAAATTTAAAGTTGTGGATAAATTAAATTTATTTTACACTATAAAAGTATACCGATAAGAGTACATCAATAAAAAAAATTATTATAGCGGTTTCTAAGAAAAAACATTTATTACATGCCTAAGTTCATTTTTTTTTTTTAGCAAACTTTTCTTTGCCTTTATATTAACAATTATCCTAAAAAATGTAATTTAAGTAATACTTTTATTAACAAATATTTATTTTTAAAGATGATTTCTATTAAATAAGGCCTAATCGAGAGTCAACATTTAAATAAAAATATACTTTTAGCGTTTTAAGTGAGGCATTAGTAAAAATAATTGGAAGTTAGCTACTATATTTAATGCCTGATAATGTATCTATTAGGTAGTTAACAACTTGCCTACAGCTTATCTGATATATACGCTTAAAATTTTTGATTATTAAGCTTAGAGTGAAATAGTCTTTGTTGCTTAAAACATGAAAATATGAAAAAAGTTTATTCTAGAGTAGTCACCACTAAACAGCTAGGAATTCAGCAATGAGGTTGACTTTTATCTTTCCTCTCTCTCTCTCTCTCAACTTCAAGATAAATATAAATAACTTCTAAAAATCTACAAATATCTTGAAAAGTTGATTAAAAATTTTTGAACAAGTCGATAAAATGATTCGGACGCGAAAAGGTAAATATCTAGGAGTCATCTGAACTAATTCACATATATGTGTTTAGATTTTTTTATCAAAGTTAACTATCGTCTTTTTTTCTGTTTGTTTTTTCTTTCGGTATAAAGGGCTGAATAAAGTGATTTATTTATTTAGTCTGCTATTAAGAGAAGACTTGCTTTAGCCTAGAGGACTCTAACACAAGATATTCATTTCGTTTAAGAGAATTTAAAAAAAGATCTACGTTTTAGAATTATATTAACAAAACACCTCTCGTTATGCTTCAGCTTCTTTATAATAAGGCAAAACAAACTTACTGCTTGACATTAGAGTCATTTTTTAAACTTGCTTTGCACAAAAACTGTTTTCTCAGTTTCCAATATAATAAACTATCTTAGTTAAAATTAATAAATCGGAGCATTTACTAAATTTTAACTAATAATTTTGGTAATAGCACGCCGATAAAGTTGACTGTGCAAGTAGTATTAAATTTAAATTATTTAAGTTTCTATCAGTGATATACGCTTCCAGCAATTTAGATTTATTAAAAGTTATTAAAAATTTTAGTAGACTACCTTCTACACAACCAATGTAGAACTTGGCGTTGTGTACTGGCCAAAATATAAAACCCAGAGCTATTTTTCTGAGTAAGGTGGTTTAGCAATAATATTTATAAATTTTAGACTGAGTAATTTATGGTTGTAGAAGTGACGATTTATAAGCCTTCCTGATCAGTAATTATTATATACACTAACAGTAGCAGGTAAGACAAAAGACAAAATAATAAAACAATGTATAAAATACGGTGAACAATTCCAAAACGGCTACTTTAATTTAATTTTTGGTCTCATCGCGGGCATTCTAGGTATATACAGCACTATCTAGAATAGTGCTAGTATCATACCTAGGGTTAGTAGTTATAGGAGCTAACACTATTATGCTCCTGTCTATAGACAAAGGCACTAATACAGTAGGCGTACCTACGATACTGGCACCAATGTGCCAACCATCATAACAGTTAACCAAATAAATGAGTTAGCTAGTATTACGACTAGGCCAGCGTCCCTAGGACAAGGGTTAGTGCTATCTCGTTACTCACTATGCATACCTTATATGACGAAGCTTTCCCCGCAGCTGTTCACTTGAAGTCATAGTATACACATACCTTAGCTTTTTCCGTCAACATGAATATAGTGATCATATTGATTTTCGAAGCTCACCAAGTGACAAATTACAGAGAACGTACACACGTGGTGGCAACACTAGTATACAGCACGATGAATTTCTCCAATAAGTCATCAGGATTCGTTTGTTGTGCAAAACTCATAGCGTCGATGCTAGTACCCGATTTAAACTAAACGAGCTCATCAGGCTGAGATTATGCAACATCCTACTTGATACAGGAATTTAGCACCTGCCTAGAGACTCATCTGATTTGCCAGTTTTACCAATTTTAAGAGCATGTGTTTCCGCTTGTAAAAGCCTACCTCTCTCCTAAGTAGCGTGCAAGCCTCAATATATTTAAACCAAGCAAGGCAACCATAATCAGAACAAAACGTTTAACCTATCATGAATTAGTAAACGTACTCAAGATATTTTCGATTGCAATTATGACAGCATTTCGCCCTAGGGGATTACTAAACATCACAAGGTCGTATTCCATTTACACCCGCACTCTAGTCCGTCTCAGGATGGTAACCTGCAGACATAATTCTTTGTATTCCAGTACCGAGAGCCTACAGGACTACCAAACGAATCAGTCGTGTCTAGAATGGGTCCGATCTCTTTCGGACTCTTTTACGATAACAAAACGGAAGACGACACAATAATCTCCAATTCCGTTAAAGAGAGTACTAAACTAAACGGATGCTTAAAGTTTCAAGCAAACAGTCTAAGGCACATAGGTCCTAATAGGGAACTTCAGGATGTGTACCATCAATGACCCCAGCACGCCTAGCTTACCCACTAAGTAAGTGACCTAATTCAGTTGCCAAAGTCAATCAACTATTTTAGACAACGGTTTATTTTCTGAAGTTACAGCTTAGGCTACGAAGTAAGCTCGTGCGCCGATGAAGATGACAAGCGCACGAGAGAAAGCTCGCAGAGAGAGCAGGTTAATCAGCATGCTCTCTTATATATGAGGTTTTGAGCATCTTAGTTATTCTATAATAGCACTCTTTTGAAAGAAGGCAAATTTGGTTAATTTAATTTTTGCAATTTTCATTTTAGTATTTATAAGATTTTCTTTCATTAAATTTATTAAATTATATTTGATTTCTTCTATATAAAATAATACTGTTTTGATTATGGCAAAATGCAAAAAATTAAACTATAGTTAACTTTTATTAATTTTACTAGGTTTATCAATTTTACTTGATTTTAATTAAATTTACTAATTTAACTTCATTGGGCTTGGTGTTAACAAATGAATACAAGCTTCAAATCGTAAGCTAGCCATGTTGGATCTAAAATAATTGAATATGTAATTTAGCAGAGGGCTTTCTGTAACATCTAAGTTAATGCATTTGAGTAGAGGGTGACAGGATACGATACGAAATACGTCTACTTCTACGTGTTCGTCCGTCTCCTGATGTAACCCAATTAATTACCATAGATCTAAACCATCTGGTGACCGCAAGGATCAATGCGCCCGTAGATGTAATTTTTAATATAAGGCCGGTTTACGATCTGTATCTGGCGGAAAAAGCACCCGTTACTTGCAAGAAGAATGCATAAAGGAATACTAAAGTCTCAAGATATTAATAACGGTTTAATGCAAACCAAGCTGCAAAGTGCTACCATTAATAGCTCAACCTCTCGCCGTTGACATGGGAATGTAACTTTAAAGGATCGTCGACGCGTATATCCCGTACAAAAAGTCAAAGATGTTAGTTCAGTTAGAAATCATAAGGGAATGGTTCACTATCAAGTTTAATTTTATAAACTAATTCCATCCTAAATTTTATTCAATAATCATAAACTTTAGCTAAGAAAGGTGCCATTACTATGATATTTCTACTAAAAAGTAAGTCAATTCTATTTCATAACCATTTTACAACTAATCTATCAACATTTTCCTTTTTATTTAGCGCTAACATTTTACGGTCGATCTACAAAAGGGTCTTAAATCGCTTAATATAAATCCCTCTCCTTTAGAGGGCTTGAACTCATATGTTCACCAGTGTGCGCCCCAGAGGGGCCACGAGGGTGGTCCCGAAGAACTACAAAGAAAGTGAACGGACTGCCGCGCTCTTTTGCCTGGTGTGGCAAAAAAACTAACAAATAGTAACAAGTACATAAAAGAGGAAAAGAGGGCAGATTTGGTTAGTTTTAAATTTTTGGTATTTATATTTTTCCTATTATTATGTAACAATCTTCATGATGAGAGTTTAGAATGTTTGGGACATTTAATAACCTTTCATAATGTAAAAAACCGCTAAAAGTCATCTGCAGACCATCCAGCAAAATGTAGGCATAGCCTCCCCGCTTACGAGCTTCCATCTTTTTGCCGATTTTACTAATATATATATATATATATATATAATGACTTTTTCTAGTACTCGATCGACTTAAAAATTTTATATGCCCGAGCCCACAATCAGGAGTAATCGCAACTAAAGTACAGTTCAGTCATAGATCGATAATTTCTTCAAATTTTTTCAGCTTCGAAACAAATAACAGATGCGCTTAAAGCGCGTTACGTGGGCGGTGGTACGTGTCTCTCCCATGGCTCATAAAAGCTTCTCACCAGCAGGCTGTTAGTGTGCCTAGATGGTTGTCGTAAAGAGCAACGGCATTGAGTCAGAGGAAGCGTTCAACGGATCTGACTGGAGGCCGCCGAATCCCTAATCCTAACCCAGCTTTTATATAAAAAGCTTACATACAGATTAAAATTGATTAGATTTTTTAATTATCTCTTCTTGTAAACCTGACCCCATCTTTAGCACTGATACCGTTGGGCTTATATTCTCGCGGTTCACTGATGCAGTAATAATGGTAAGTAGGTTTAACTATGTTTAACAGGACGCAATGATTGGTGGTAAATTTAAAATCATTAATGTCGCACGGCTAGGGCTGTTCAGCTAATTTATGAAAATAAGTATCGGGTGAATGGAATAATTTTTCTAAAAGCTAATTGCATTGTAATTTACGAGAAAGCTTTAAAAACAGCAGATTCGACCCATTAAAGAAAATAAGGATAACCGGAGAAGGCAAAGCAAGTCTCAAATGCACAACAGAGAAAGAGTGGGTAGACCTTGATTTTTTTTTAACTTGCCTAATCAGTTTATAACTAAGGAACGTTGAGAACCGCAAACCTTGAGAAACATTGATGGTGTACCATTTGACCCCTACGAATTTTTAAAGAACATCAAATAGCATAGAATATGCATAAAATACAGGTTTAAAGAGATATTAACCTTACGGTTATTAAGGAGGATGAAGATTTTAAAAAGTTAGTAGAGTAAGCATCAAAATATCAGGGTATTATTATCTATGATTTAAAGGCAACTGACATTTATGAGAATTTTTATAGTACAATACTGAAATTGAGTTAATTACAAGTAGCTTCTTTGCTAAACCGCGTAAATTTAAGTACTAATTATGATGGTATCGTTCCCACCGTAAACTTTAAAGTATCTTTAAATATTTTTACCAAGACATTCAAAGTAGGAGAAGATGGTATCTTGTTATATACACCGATATTTATACACGCCTTTTGCAGTACTGCTATTAATAAAACCAAAAAAATTTTTTAGGAATGTCATAGTAGCGTTATTAACTCTTCCAAAATGTTTAAAAAATATTTACAATACTTTAGTTATATTGATAAAAACAGCCAGTCCTTAAAATGATTTCAAAGTTATAAATAGTGATGTTAATAAAAGAATTAATAAACTTTTTTGATGCTAAGGAATTGAACATTATACCTTAGTTTAGTTAAGATCCAGTAGGTAAATACTCAATGGAAGTATTATATTTGGAATTTTTTTTTCCTGGTAATCTCATATCGCGTTGATAATGATATAAAAAAAACTACTATATCTGGAGTGTAAAAAAAGACTTTCAAAGAGTTAAAAACTCTGGGTTTTTAAGAGTTTTCAAAATAGGTATGGGAGTAATTCTCAAAGATAACTTTGTTCCTTCCAGCTTTTTTGAGGTTCCAATGAACAATATCATTTCTACGCATTCCATGTTTCTAAAAACGAGGCGCCATAAGTTAATCAAGGGGAGGCCCGCTGCATTTATATGACATTAACTTAAATTATGGAAAAAATATAGTCGCCTGCTGGGGAAGATTAAAAGTTGGTTCCTAATAAGTGATGGTATTTCTAAGGCTCCTTAAATTTTAAGTAAAGTTCCAGTTTTACCCTATTTATACACTGGTTGTGCAGTTCATGTGGCTAAATATTTAATCTATTTGTTACATGCATGATACAGGGCTAGCAGAACAGTTTTTAAAACAATTCAAATATTTCATTAAAAGAATAAGAATTTATAAGATGAGACTTAGTGACAATAAGAATTTTTCGAGATAAACCTTTTTTCCATGCATATTTGAAACCGTATTGAAATATACCATAAGGTAGCAAAATAAGCTGGAGATGCACAGGCTGCATAGCATCTAAGCGTAAAATCATATAATCTAAGCGATTGGTGGAGTATTTAGAGACTTAAAAAAAATTGGGTAAGGTACGCGCAATAAGAAAGGCTAGCCTAAATGATAGAGAATAATTGTTAATGGAATCACCTTACAAAAGCTGGAAAATAGAAGAAATAATAATAATAAACAAATAACTAAATATGCTGACAACATTTTAGGTGGTCATCCTTTAAATAAAATTCTAGAAAAGCTCAACCAAGGGATAATAAACACTTTAAATAAGGATATTTGTATTTTTTTACGGTAATTTGCTTGGTTAAAGCCAACCTTAGGAAACAATATTTTATTATGATTATATGGGACCTGCTGCCTTTTATAACAATCTTACGAATGTTCTTTGGATATAAGGCTAATCGTGATTTCTTTAAGCCTAGAAGACCTTTCAATATTATCTAAATATTAAAATTTCCTAGATTTCTTCTTTCAGTTTCCTGGAATGCGCTAATCATGTAGTATATATTCTAACTTTTCTGGCAATTGTTAATAATAAGTTGTTAAGGGATAGAGGTTGTAATTTTTATTATTTAAAAACTTTGCATGTTTTTTTTTTTTGAAATTCCTAACTAGTAAACGTAAAATTTGTCAAAATAACCAATTTTTTTTAATTTGTGCTGAGTACTTTTGACTGCAGGTCGCTTTCTTTGGTTTCTTAAACGTTATGGCAGATTATTCAATCATAAGTACTTGGTATTATTTAATCACTTCGCTTAAAAAAAAGTGCTCTACACAACACATAATATTACAGTCTTAAGCAATAGTGCACTAGAGGACAAAGAAGTAAGAGCTTATACTGCGTAGTAATAAGTTATAAGTTTATTAATATGCTATAGCTATGGAGGGGTCTTTTTCTGCTTGAGTTGCTTTACATAGTTCTTAAAAAATTTTATTTGGAAGTAACAGTGCGCTGTATGTTGCCGAGCCCATGGGGTTGCAAGTCAGCTGCTTCCTCTCTTAACGTCTTAATATAGTTACTAACTTGCTTAAAGTACGCCACTATAAATTTAACAAAAAAAATCGGTATTCAAAATGCGTGTTAATTTAGACCTGAAATTATTTGAATACGTCTTAAAAATAGAAACTCAAATCCACTAAAACAATGCTAATGTATATTTCTTTAAAAAAATTAAATTTAGCAGAGTAAACAGAAAAGCCGAGAAAAGTTTGTAATAGTTAAAAAGTACAATTTACTCCTATTATAACAAATTCTAACTATCTTATAGCTAACGAAGTAATTTATACATAATTTTTTTTTCTTAGTAGAAGCTAGCAAATAACTTGCTTATATAGCTCTCTTGTGTTCTTCAATTAATTTTATAAGTTACTTAATTAATAAAATTATAAAGTAATATAGTTTCTTCAAAATAAAATATATATTTTTAAGAATACTTTTAACCCAAATATGTTTGTTTAGTCAAAACAACCGGTGTCGAGCCTAAGCGAAATTGCTGTCGCATTAAAGCAAATATAGTTCTTTTTCATTCTGTATATTTTAAGATTACAACTTTAACCTCTATTTTTAAGAAAAATTAAATTATAAAGTGCTCAGTGCAATTGGAAATTTAATATCTACAGTAATGCTAGCTCAATAAATATTTAAAATGAGCTTTAGGCAAGTTATTAGGTGGCAAACCAAGTTAATTTATATTTACCAAACAAATTTTTTTTTTGATAGATTTGAAGAATATTTTATAGCGTAATCGTGATTTAAAGTCTCTCCAACATATTTTTATTACCCTTAAAGTATTTTGTTAAATAGTGGCAGGAGAAACGGGCTTAACATAGTATAAAGACAAGATAGCCATGTTTCTTAATTGGTTTAGTAATACACCATATTATGAAAGCCACAAAATGATGATACTGAGTTAGTAGACTAAAAACATAAATAGTTATTGCCCAGATAAAACTACTATTATTATGCCCTCTAAGTTTTCTTATTAGAAGATGGCATGATTATATTAACTAATAAATTTTTAGAGTTGGATTAAATAGATATAATTGCAACTTTTTTCAAAAAAACGTAATACTTTTAGCAGTGGGCGATACAGCCGAAGTTGTTCTATGCTGCAATAGGAGGGGTTAGTGAAAATACATGAGCGCTCCTCTATATTTAAGTTTTAGTCAAAAAAATAAAAAGATCAGCGACACTACAACTCTAAAGCTTCGTTTAAGGGTTAGCGGGAGACGTCCCATCGTTGAAAAAAGCTTCAATTGGAGAGTACAATAAAGAATATTCCGGACAGTATAGTTATTGCTTATTTTGTTTGTATCACCCTATTATTATTGTAAATTTTGTTAGTGTTACTAGTATAATTATTTAGTTTATATATATTGTAACTTTAATAAATTATAAATATTCATAGATGTTTGTGTTTCGTAAGCTATAGCTTAAAAAAAACTTAGAGAAAAGAATTGCAGAAACTTTAGAATCATTTGCTAGTTGTGCTACAGGACTTGTAGTCAATTAATATTGAAGCCTGACCATAAATTTTATAGTATTAGTTTATATGCACAATGTATGTTATTCTGTTGTATAAAACGAGGTAGAGAGCGCTTCTTTAAACCTTCGCTTTATTAATAACAAAAAGGGTGTAGCCAATCAAAGTTTTTCGTAATAAAATTACTATGCCGAGATAATTCATATGAGTCTCTCAAGCGAATTACGTTTGTAACATGTTAAGCTTTTTCTTTCCTTTTTAAAAGAAGACTTTTACTCTTTGCAGCAATAACCTCAAAATTACTGTGTGTCGAACCACTTATTAAGGATTTCAAGAAACAAATAAAGACGTTTTTATGCTAGAGAATCCGATCTTATACTGCAGTTTAATTTTAGATCTAGGAAAGTCAAACAGTTAAGTAAAGAATAGAAGAGAAGAAGGAAGAGATCTTGGCTGGCGGTTTTTTGTAGACTTTTCTGTAATTATTTCGGTTAATAAGTTTTTTAACAAAGAAAGGAAGAGGATAAGAGGATGTGATGAAAAAAGTGAAAATTATTAAAATATAAGTAAGCCTTTGTCCAAAACATTTTCAAAAGTTTTTTAAAATGTCGTTGTTAATCTTCTTACATTGAACGATTTTTATTACATGTACCGAAAACCTGAAACTCTGTTAAGAGCTTAATTATATATATATTTGTATTATAGTCTCTAACTTTTGCTCAGGCAGGAGAGAAAAACAAAAAAGTGATAAATATTAGATGGGACTATTAGTATTCAAGTTATAAGAAAGATCTTATATAAGTTGTTTATTATATAGAGAAATGAAGTTAAGTAAAACTAAATTAAAACAGTTTAGCGATAAAATAAAGTCTCTTAGCCTTTTTAGTATGTAATAACTGTAACTTCAGTTACCTTTTCTGTGCAAAGATTTGGTAACCAGGACTTTCAATATTATTTATTGAAGGTTTGCTCTTTTTTCTGCACGTTTAACAGGTTCGCTATATAAATTCTTTAAAAATAAGAAGTAGAAAACGGTGTTAAGTAAAAATAAGAGGTTTTTTTTGTATGAAATGGGCTGCATTGATCATGTAGCAACTAAATATTTTGGAAAAGTCTGTCTTAAGTATGAGTATGGCATAAAGTAGAATATATATATATTTTACCTTTCATAAGTTAAATTTAATTAGTTTATAGCATCTTCTTTACCATAATAATAATTCTCTCTTAATGTGAACTTTTTCTTAGTTAGCTTCTATATACATCAACAGAGAGAGACAAATATTCTGAAATTTAGTAGTTAAAAAAAAACTTTGTCAAATTGAAAGATGCATAAGTCAACCCATAAATTGTGTAAATAAAATTAATAACTAAAAGTTTATAAAAAGTCAGTCTGTAATTTTTTCCGTACAATTTGAGAGCGTGACGATCCTTTAACACTATATTAACTGGTGGGGGATTATAATAGAAAAGAAAGCCCGTGAAGTATTTGAAAATGAAAGTTTTAATGGAATTTTTTGTAGTACTGTAGTGTGTAAAAACTTTAGTTTAGTTCTAAAATAAAATATTTTATACAATATTAAAGCAGTTTAAAGTTAAAAATCTTAGCACAATTTAGTTAAGGTTTCTATACAGGCACGACAGCTTCCTCAAGTAAATCTTGAGGATAGCTAGGTGTAAATTTAAATAAGGCAGTAGCATTCGTTAAGCTGGTAGATTGTAGCTAAATTTCTATTCTATAAGCTCAAATGCAATTATAAACGTAGTTAACTTTATTCCTAAATTAAATAAAAAACTTTTATATAAGCTATTTCACTACTAGAGCAACAACCACTCAAATTCGTAAAAATTTCACAATGTTTATATTTAAGTTTTATACTGGTTAATAATAATCTGAGTTTACAAATAATTATTAAAAACGAAATTATTAGCAACATATTTTAAAGCTTAGGCCACAAAAAAGGTGCAATTAATTCAAAAAAAAACATTTTTTCAGAGAATACAAAAATCCTAAACTATCTTCATTAATATGCTTTACCAGCTTTTTCTTTCCCTGTTAAAGCTAAAAAAGAGCGCTGCAACGCAGATTGTCTATCCAGCATGATAACTAAAGTATTATTCTTTTTCTTTTTTTCCATTATGCGTTTATCTTTTTCAAGTTAAGGATATCTAACATGCAAGCCAACCTCATAAAGATAGTATGCAGTTAGTGTACCGCATACAAAGTTAGGCTTATTGAGCCAGATAATAACATTTAGTTACATCATTAGATTGCGCTATCAATACTTTTATATTACTTCGCTAAACGCGAATAAGGTAATTTATATGTATTTCAATAATCATATTTAAAATAGAAAAACTGAGACTACTAAAAATATAAAATAGCTTCCGGAAACAGTTTGCAAAGTATTAATTACAACAAAGGTATAAAGGAAGTTAAAAAATTTTAATAAAATGAGGAACAATACTTGAACAACTTTACAATTACAAATATATAAATTTTTTAAAGGAATAAAAAAACATAATCAATAAATTCATACGCCGTATTTTTTTTTCCCGTCATACTAAAGGCATCAAAAATAGAACATTACCGCACTTCTACACAATCCTACTGAGTTTCCTTTTAAGGCATCTAATGAGCCACTCATCTGTCAGCATTGATCCATGCTCCTAAAGCGGTCTCCAAGTTTTGTTTTTATTAGAAAGCAGGTTTAACTGTTTCTTAGTTCTTTTTGTTAAGGTTCGTATTAGTTTTATGGCCGCTCCAGTAGAGGCTTCTGCCTCCACTTCTTCCCCATTAAGATGTAGATATTATCTTCATGGCGTTTGTTATAAAGGAGCAAATTGTAATTATGCACATGACTTAAAAGCTGAAGAAGATAAGACGTGTAGATATTATTTGGCAGGTAATTTTTTAAAAAAATCCTACTTTGTTAGTATTATACTACTACTTGTTTTAAAGGAAATTGTTTTTACGGAAACCGTTGTAGATATGATCATATTGGGCGAAGGCGCCCCACCAACGTCGATGGGTCTATGTCTGTTTCTTACTTATTACGGGAAAGCGCGAAGGTTGCTTCGCATAAATATAATTTTATTATTTAATAAGAGGCATATATTTTGCTTTCTCTTTTTTATCATTTGGAAAAGAAATATTATATTAATGATTATTTTATTTTATTGCGTGGTTAATTTTAATTGACTTGTTTTATAGAAAGCAGTAACTACTTCAGTTGTGAAAGGTATTTAAACGTAACTTGAATTTTTTCTCATCATTGACACAATTATTCTAAGAAAAATCCGAAGATAAGGTGCTAGTATTTGAGACTAAATTGGTAAACATTTCGATTTTCTTTTTATTATTTTATTTAATAAAATATATTACTTTTTTCAAGTGCCCTTTTTTAATTTCTGGGAATTGCGGCTATGGAGACTCTTGCTTATATCTTCATGGTATATACATATTTTATCGAATTATGAAAATGACCTTATTGGTTTTAGGCAATCCCTGCCCCGTTTGCTTGAAACCCTGTCTTCATCCCACTCGTGCAGATCTAAGTGAAGGTGATTTAAAAAATTTTATTTTTATTCTCTTCCGTGTTAAAGAAACAATTACTAAGCACACGTTAATTCTTGCTTGGAAAACTCCAATAATTTGGAAAAGCGAATTATAAATTCGCAAAAGTCAAAAGGTATTTATAATTTAAATTAAATTTTTTCTGAAAACTTTGTTTTTCAAAAACTTTCTTTAGGCGTTGAATGTGGTATCTGTTTAGAAGTTGTTCTTGAAAAGGCAACTTTATCCAACAGACGTTTCGGTTTGCTTAGTAAGTTAAATTTTTATTTACAATTGATTCAAATTTCAAATAACTTTATTTTTTTCTTTATTACCTATAAGAATCTTGCAAGCACGCTTTTTGCCTTCCTTGCATCCGTAAGTGGCGAAGCGAGCGGAATCGGTTTGAAAATTAATTGCCTCTTCACTAAATTTTTTAGGCTGCTTATATAATTTTTATAAATTTAATTAATTTTATTAAAATATTTTTAAAAAAGCCCTAAAGAACTTGTGAGACAGTGCCCCTTATGTAGAGTTGAGTCTTTTTTGGTGATCCCCTCCGCTGTGTGGATCGGTACTATAACAATTTTTTTTGATTAGGCTTAAGCTTATTTGAAAAAATTTAATGTCCCACAAAATCAATTTAAAATCCTACAATTTAATTGACTTTTAAAAGATAAATTAAAATTTATTATTGCACAGTCAAATCTTTTTTTTTTTTCGTAATTTTTTTAAGATAAAAATAATATAATTTATTTAGAGGACGATGCCGAGAAAGAAGCTCTATTCGAACAATATACAGCCAATCTAAAGTTCTTTAAATTTCTTTGAACTGCATTATTATTGATGTAGGGAATTCTTACGGCTTCTAGAAAAAAGGATTGCGTAAATTATAATTTCGGCGAGGGCACGTGTCCTTTCGGTGCATCTTGTTTCTACCGCCACGCTCGTCGCGGTTATTATTATAATATGAATTCACTTATTATTTAGATAAATTATAATGAATAATTAAAAGATCCCTTTTGTTAGCATTTAAGTGATAACCGAATATAATTATTTCTTTGAAAGTTTTATTTATTCATTATAATATTCTCTATTTTTATAATAGATTAACTTTAACTAAACTATATTAATTTAGATAGTATTATTAAAATTAAGCAATTTATAAATTATTTATGCAAGTTAATTCAATTAAATGGCACATTTTAATTAGTTAACCACCATATCAACATTAAAAATTATTATTCAATCTTTAATTGTATATAATTATTTATTGTTAAATTTACATCAAATATTTTAACTAGCATATTCTAAATGTAAATTAATACTAATTTTAATTTAATTATAGCTAATTATAATTTAAAAATATAAATTATAAATAAATATCATTTAAACCGTGATAAATCATTTTTACTATTATAATAATTATAATATTAATTTATTTTTTATGCTTTTTATAAAACGAAGATGGCACATTAGAGAAACCAGTTCTTCGAAAAGTTGCTAATGCCGACGGCGATCTTACAGTTCTGGATATAATCAGGTCGAAAATTTTTAAAAATTGAAAAAAATTATAAATTTTTTCTTCAGGGTTTCGGATTTTCTAAATTTAATAAATTTTCAAGAATCTGACAACTCCAGCGATTTAGAAAATTAATTTTATTATAAAACGATAAAATTTGAGACGTGATATTGATTTACAGTAATAATATATGATATCCTCGGTAATAAGGTTTAAAGCATCTTTTACAAAAAAAAAAGGAAATTTTGTTTAAAAAGGAACTTTTTCACTTAAATAAAAATATTTTCTTATTAATTTGGGAATTTGTATTTTTTAAAATTATAGTAAAAATTTAAAAGATTTGATTTTTTTTTTTTGGTTTAGATTTATATAAGCTTTAGGTTGTATCTTTTTTTTAACGGCGAAAAACACAATTTAAAAACAAGTTCATAAGTTATTTATTTTTAAAAGCGAAATTTAAAATTAAGAACCTAAAAAATAATTTTAATAAAATTTTTCATTAGTTTTTTAATAAATTTTTTTTTTTAGACATTAGACCTTTTTAAAAGGTAAATTAAAAGTAAATTATTTATTGTACTTCTATTTTTATTTAATTTTTTCTAAAGTAAATCATTGTCAAGTTATTAATTCTGTTTTAAGAATTCTGAAAAAATTTAAGCAAAATTTTTTTGGAATATCAATTTCCTAATTTTTTTCTTTAAGATTTTATATAAAATTAGAAATTAAATTTTTTTTAAAAATAAATTTATATTAAATTAATTATATTGTTTCGAAGATTATCTTTAAAAAAGTGTTGAAAAAGAGCTTGTGTCCATATTTCTTTTAGATCTGTATAGAAATTTTAGGATGATTATAGTTTTACTTACTGACCTAAAGCACAATTGCTATAAAAGATTTGAACAAGTAAAGATGGATGCTAAATTAATCAAGTACAAAACTTAGAGAAGACTCGATCCTTTATAAGAATAAAATGAAAGAAGTAATTTAAATCTCGAGATGAAAAGTGATAAAAATTTATTAATGGTTTTATCTTTAATTAAAAAAACTATAATCAAGACTGCAGATAAACCTAGATCACGAGATTCGTTAGAAAGTATTTCTTAATACAAAAATATATAAAAATAAATAGGGTGTAAAGAAAAGTTAATATTTATATTTTTTTGCTAAAAAGTATTAACAGAAAGTATAGTTTCAAAGTAGAAAATTGAAAAAATCGTATAAAGAACATAATTTGTAGAAGTAACAAATATTAATTAATAACTTTAAATATGACGTTCAATACAGAATTATAGTAAATTTCCTCCTAAAAAGAAATTTGAATCTAAATAAAATTTTATAAAATCTAAATTTTAATAAAAACCATTTAATAAAAGATAGTTTGGGAAGATGAAGTTTAAAGACGGCCTCAGTATAAAAAAACCCAATTCTTTTTGAAAAAAAAAAGGTTTGCCTTATAATGCTTAATAAATACTACTGAAAATCTTGTTTACCTTCAAAACTTTTAATACACTCCAAAATTTAAAGTACTAATACATTATTTTAGAATTTATGATATTTTTTGTTTTTTTAGTATTATTTTGGATTATTTCCATTTTCTCCAGAATTAACTTCATTAACAATTTATTTTTTAAATTTTATTCAAATATAAGATTTTTAAATACTTTAAGAAATATAAAAAAAAGTGTAAAGTGAAATTTTCTTAGATGTACAGAATATATTATAAATCAACTGATATAAAAAATAATTTAGGAGTGCTTATTTCATAACTAAAAAAATAATAAAAATATAGTAATATAAAAAAGAAAACATAACAAGCATAACAAAAAAGATAAAAGTTAAATAAGAAAAAAATACCAAAATTAAAAACTTCTTTATCTCAAATTTAAAAAAAAAAAATCTTTCTAACAAAATATTATTTTATTAATAAATTAAAATATCAGGGAAAAAGTTGTGCTTATAAATAGATAGAAAAGAATAGTAACAAGATAAAAAATCAATCCACGCTTTAATATATGTAGAGAAACAAACTATTAATTAACTCGAGCTTTCATATAAAGAATTGCAATATTAGAAAACATAAAATATAATCCTGTAAAAATATAAATAAATAAACTTCAATCAAGGAAGTAATAAAGATGTAATAACAAAATCCATAAGAAATAAAAATATTTTGAAAAGCAGACAATATAATTCTAAAAATTAAAAGAAATCCTTTTTTTTGTACTTTTTTTAATTTATTTATAATAAAGTCTTATAGAAAAAAAAATTTAAAACCGAAAATAAAAACTTTAAAATTTTCAAATAAAAAAGAAAACCAAAAGGGGCACATGCAAAAGTTTAAAATAGTATACAAAATTTATAAATTTGGTTTCAGATGACCTAAAAACAAGTAACCAGTGATGTTAATTATATAAAGGAATTGAAAAAAGCTGCTATAAATTTACTATAATCTGGATAAAACATTTTTTCTTTATAATATTAAAAAAAGGAGTCGAAAATAGAATATGTTAATAATTATACTTAATTAGAAAATATTTTAATGCTTGAAAGATTTGCATTATAATCAGTAAATATTTAAAAAAAAATCTCTATAACAAAAGAAAATGCAAACAAGGCATATAAAATAAAAAGAATATCTTCATTTACTAAAATGAAAATAAATAATTCCTAAATTATATAATAAAATAGAAGACATAAAAGTAAAAAGCGCAGCTATAATATAAATTGATAAACTAAAATTATAAAAATCGATAAAAGTTGTGGAAAATTAGAATTAAAAAAAAATTAAGTAAAAAATAATTGATAAACATAAAAAATTTAAGCTCAATTAAATCAGATAAATTGTGTTGCAACAATAAACAATAGAAATAATAATAATAAAAATAAATAAAGAAAATCATTTTAATAGAAAAATAATAATAAAAAATTAAAAATTCGCTTTAAAAAATAAGTAAAATTTTGTAATAAGAATGAATTTAAAAAAAGTTAGCATAAACATCCTTATGAAATTTATATTATAAATAAATTTAGATTTATATTCAAAACAAAATTCTCTAATAAAAATAAAAAAAAAAATCTATATTTTTTACATAAACATGTAACGATCATTATAAAAAGTATGGTGAAAAAAATATACTTTTTTATTAAAAAAAAATTGAAAATTTAGTTTTTCGAAACAAATTAGTAAAATCGTTATTATAATAATTTTTTTTAAAAAATTGCTTTATAAAATTAGAAAAAGTTAAAATTATTATAAAAAATAATTATTTTAAGATAAAAAGAAATAGACTGAATTATTTGTTTTAAATAGAAAAAAATTTAAAGAAATTTAAATGTAGAAGTAGCAAAAACTTAAAAAAATTGTTAAATTTTGAGTTTTCCTACTTTATATATAAGCAAATTTAATATAAATTAATTAATTTATATTTTTAAATAAATAATAATATATAATAAAATTTTATAATCGTTTAATTGTAGAGAAAAGTTTATAAAATTTAAACTAAAAACAAATTATCAAAAACTTTCTTAGTACAAGTTTGTTTTATAAGTCAGTTTTCATCAGCTTTATAACAGTGGCATAAGTAAAAGAAAATTATATAAAATTATTCCAATATAAAGAAAATATACTAAAATTTTATAAAATTTTAATTATTGAAAAAATTTATATTTTAAATTATAACAAATTAAAAAAAAAATATCTCAAAAAAATTTTATTTTAAACATAATGAAGTTTTTTTAGCTTTTTTTAAAAATATAATATAGCTTTGCTTTATAATAGTAGAAAAATTGAAAGTCAGTTTATAAATAATAAAATTGTTGCACAAAAAACAATTTAGAAAAATCGAAAATTTTTAAATTAAAAAATTTTAGGAGTTTATTTAAGTTAATTATTTATTATCGTATATAAAAACATTAAAGCTCCGAAATTTACTAATACTTATAATTTTTTATAAAATTGGTTAGTAAAAAGACTATGAAAAACGAATTAAATCAAAAAGCAAAAGTCGCAAATTTGTAAAAAATAATTCGAAAACAAGTAAAAGTAAAAAAAAAACTTAAGAAAACTTATCTTATTAATGATGTGCACCTAGAAATAGTACGTAAAAAAAATTATTTAAAGTAAATTGCTAAAATTAGAATTAGTAAATAGTTCGCAACACAATATTTAGTAATAGCAATATTAAAAATAATGTGATAAAAAAATTATAAAAGTAAAAAAGATTAACCTAAATTAAAAATTTATCAAATTTAAAAAAAAACGATAAAAAGATAGACATGTAACATATAAAGATTGAATCAGTTTTTCAGTTTTATAAATTTTGTTAAAACATAAAATTAGGCATCTTAATATATTTTTAAAAAACAAAAATAGTAGTAATTTATTAAATTAAATATAATAAAAAAAATTCTACACAATTCCATTTAATATAAAATAAGAATCTTAACACAACCCCACACAATTTCCGTTCGAATTTTAAATTAAAAAATTTAGACTGTATTTTTATATAAAAAAGCTCATTATATTCATCAAGTAAGTCCTCTCTCTAAAGCCGTAATAATAAAAATAACACAAATAAAAAGCTTTTCAAAAAAATCTTAAACCTAATTAATTATTAAATCCTCAAAGTACAATTAATAAAAAAGACAAGTTTTTAATAATAAAACAAAACACTACTTTTTTAAAATATGAAAGTTTTCAAAAAAAGAGAAAAACTAATTTTATAAAATTTTTTTTAAAAACTCTACATATAAATTTATAAATTATAATCTAATGCGTATCAAGTAACAAACGAACAAAAATTACCAAGTGAAATCAAGTTTAACTTTGAAAAATAATCTCTAAAGGCCTAATCACTACAGACTGCCAAGCGAGTTAATCTACACTTTTTCAAGGAATCGCTCACCAACCGCAACCGAGCAGCTTTCAAAACACGTGGAGGAGACCAAAGCATCTGCGAAAATCCATGGCGGCCGAAAAAAGAGGAAATCAATACCGCTAAAGCAGAATTCGCGCGCTGCAGGCTGTCACCGGCGCAAAATTATTAAAGAATCTTCAGGATAAGCGCGCACTTATCGGTCTGCAAAAGGGCGGGATTATAAACCAATGAAAAAAAAAATGGCGCTAATAAAACTCTTGACGAGTAGCTACACTGAAGCTGGCCTACAACAAAATTATAAAGAGTGTCCAGCATGAATTAGATGGAAATTTTTTTATTAGTATAAATTTCTAGAAGCTCATGTTACATTTCAGTAAAAAACGTGCCTCCCCAACGACTTACAAATGAGCTTCTTAACAACTAATGAACGTAAAGCTTCGTAAATGTACAACGCCACCAGCTACGAGTTTTTCCTAAAGAGCAAAAGATCTTAAGTATAGCAGGAAAAAAAAAAAACAAAGCTAGCCGACTACTGCAACGCACACTGGCACGCCGCCGCTGTCACCCTCCCACACACCCACAATCACAAAAAAATTAAAAGTACCAGTCAGCCAGTAAGCGCGACGGACTCAACGCCCGTAAGTATAAGTGGTATCCGATGTGGCCGTGGGTGCCTTGGCGGTTTGATAGGCTCCTACACCAGAGGTGGCCCCCGCCGCTGCCGGGGTAACATTGGCCCCACGAACTTGACCTACCAAACACATGTGCGGTTATGCCAAGGCGCGAACCAACCAGAAGCAACAAAGAAGCCTTACCGTCGGGGGCAGACGAAGTGTAATCGACCGGGTAGTAACCCTCGTAACCCTCATAGCGCTTCCCATTATTGAAAACAGCCCCTCCAGTGTTGTATGGGTTGAACGCGCCATAGGCATTGGCTCCGCCAGGGCAGATCCGGGCGCGCCGCTATAATTAGCATAAGCACTGTTGGTATAATTGGCATTCCACGTGGCAGTAGGGGCGTTGCTGTAGGCGCTATAGCTGGTGTTGCCGGCAGACGGTGTAGCATTACTACCGCTCCAAGTGGGAGCCCCTGCCCCCGTAGTAGCGCCGCCGCCTTCCATATAATTTCCGCGGCCGGAGTCTCGGTAATTGTCTCGGTAATTACCCTCATTGATTCCTATCAAGGCAAGTATAACCAATAAGAACGCTATAAATAAGGCAGGGAGCATACCCGGACGGGCATAGGGAGTGTGGCGCTGAGGGGGCGCGTGTCTTCTTCCCCCTCCTCCCCTTCCAGCGGCCCCATGGTAGCCACCGCCGCCGGCGCGGTGAGACGGGCGTCCTCCCCGGCCATAGTCGCCGTAATTATCATAACCCCCTTGACCTGCCCAATAGCGGTTGATATTTCGTTTATAATAATAATAAGTACCACGTCGTCCGCCGTAGCCGTAATCCTCGTGGCCTCCGCCTCTTCTCCCGCCACCGCCATAGTTATTCCCGTAATCGCTATAGCCATCATTATAATTGCCGCCATAATAGCTGCGGTCTCTAGTGAAGTGCCGGTCCACGCGCCGTTGAAAATTATTGGCCACCTGAGCTGGGACTTTGGGGACGGCCTTCTTCACTTCTACCTAAAAAAGGTAACAGCACCAGGAGGGTTCCAAATAGCGCGAATAAACCACGTAGTGTCGTCACCTGCTTACTATCGATCTGATGGAACGGCTTCTGGACGACCTTCTCAACAGTGTCCTCATCCCCAAATGTAACGAACGCAAACCCACGCGGTCGCCGCGTGACCCCGTCGTGCCTGTGCAGACCAAACTAGATTAGAAATTTTTATAAGCAAAAGCACGAGACACGCACATGAGCTGAACTTCTTGGACGGCACCAAATTTACTGAAGTAGTCTTTAATGTTGGTTTCAGTAGTGGTCAAGCCAAGACCCCCAACAAAAACTTTCTTAGTCTTTAAGTCTTGAGGGTTTTTCCCTTCGTTACGAGGGATGGCCGCTTTAGCATCAATCTTTTTTTTAAAAAATTTAATTTTCTTATTATAAATAAAAATAAAAGATAAATACGGTGCGGCCGTCAATCTCAATCTTCCCTGCGCTCAAAACCTTATCCACGTTTCTCGGATCCTCAAATGTTATAAAACCGAAACCTCTACACAGTTAGCAATTAAAAATTAAATTTATATCCAAAAAAAATTAATCTTCAAAATTTTAATAAAATAATTAACAAAATAACTTCAAAGAGGTGAAGACTAGATATATGTCCAAGCAGCTGCTGGAGTAGAGTTATAGACGATAATTAAAAGTTACCTAGGTCTATTAGTATAACTGTCTCTCATAACAATACAATCTATTAACTTTCCAAATTTCTCAAAGGTGGTCTTTAAATCGGCTACCAAATAGACGTTATTCTTATAAAAACTAATATAGTTCGAGTTTTTACAATAAAAAACCTTCGCTACTCATTGGAGCAAGACCACCGATAAATAATTTTCTATAATAAAAAAATATATAAAGGGAAGATAAACGTAACAAACTTTACAAAAAAAAAGTACCCCTCAACTGAATAACGAGAAGGTCTTCGGGTTGCGGTACTATCTGAAGCCCCATCTTCTAAAAAAATTTCATCTTCCTGGTTAGCAGCATCCTCGTAGTATCCGCTTTGCTCAGGAAGAGTTTCTTCCATACTTAAAGGTTGATCAACTTTTTCATTATGTTCAAAATTTTCATAATGATTAACAGTTTCGGAAAGCTCAACATCTTCGTTATTGCCAATATTTTCATAATAGTATTCAGATGGGGCTGACTCGACTGGGTGCTGACTTTGCACTTGAATTAATTCATCCCCTTCATCCCCAGCAAAATTTATATTGCTCTCAGTAATGCTATCTAAAGCACTCGGATCGGGAGTTTCAAGAGCTTCTTCTACTACTTGCGGAATAACATTTTCGATAATACTAGTAGCTTCTGTAGTTAAATCGTTCTCTTCGGTATGAGTAGTTTGTGTTCCTTCGGGTTCTAAATTTAAAATTTCCAGACTTTCTTCACTCATTAATGACCTAAATTAATTTTAAATCCATTAAAAAAAGGTAAAATACAAAGAGTAAAGTAACTGAAAAGGAAGTAAAAAAGCACACTGAATAAGACAAGGCCAGCGGACAGAAAGAAAAAAGACCTCGCAAAGACTAAAATAAAACAACGCCAAACCAGAGAAAATTTATATGTTCGGAAAATTGGAAAAATGTGTCTTTGCGCTTATTGGCTAAAAATAACTGTTACCAATTTAATTAAAAAGTTAGACTATTTGTGCGCGTATATTTTTGACTCTACTTTAATTTATTGTTTATTCAAAAAAATTTTTTAATACTATTTGCCAATTTTTCAGACTGTAAATCTTAGGAAACTTGTATATTACAGACCTGAAAGTAGTTATTAATATAGATAATATAAAGCATATTGTACACAGTGAAGCAATAAAATACAGATAATTTAAAATATATTGCAAATAGTGAAGTAATATAATAAAGATAGCTTTAATATTTTGTAGACAGTGATGTAATATAATATATATAATATAAAACTTATTGTAGACAATAAAGTGATTTAATAAAGGTAAGTCGTAGCATTTGAAAACAATGTAGATTTATTCGGTGTTATAGTAGATTTCCCTGGCGCACCACACTCGACTGTACAACGTACGAAAAAATTAAAAAACTATTGCTCGGAGTTAAACTAACAATATATAACATGTGAACTGCCCTTATACTCTACCCTTCTGTCATAAACACTATTGTAAAACTAATTATTAATGGTAGACATGATAATGTTTTTTCAAGTTTTTATTATTGTTTACCAGTTCTGTAAAACCCTTGTCTCTGTTGAGACAGAAGTTAAAGAAAATCCTACTCTGTTTTATAAATATTGTAAACTTTAAACTTTTAGAGCAAAAGTTCTCCAGCATTTAAAGTATTAGATTTATTACATACCGATAGCGTAGTTTAGTCATATTATTACTTATTACAGGGGGCATTTTAAAAGGTTCCAAAGTTATATTAAAATATTATTTATATTGAACTAAAGTTATATAGTAAAGGTTTTATATAGGGAGTACAATTGCAAATATATTTAGAGAATTTATTATGCAAACAATAAAACATTGACGGCAGTATAGAAGCGCAGGTAACATGGTCCGAGCACGTGCAGCTGGAGTTTTTCAACTCCCAGTGGTAACTTATCCAACTTTCTTTCCTAACTTTCACCATCGCTCACGAAGGAATGGACACCGGGGGAAAGTTGATAAATGCTGTAATATTTGGTTCAATTTAGCCTAATAAAATATTACTTGTGGCAAATTTTTTAATAAACAGGCAAATATGTTACAGCAAAATCGTATTTTTAAGGCAGTGTATAGGGCAAAAAAAATTAAATTTCATTAAAAAAACCTCTCTATATGTAATTACCGCACGCACTATTCTCGGCATTCTTGCCACTGATTTTACAACTTTCCTGCTGGATATTGTCCCACTCTCTTTGGAGAGCCCTTTGCAGGTTTTCTTTTAATGTCCCACATCATCCTTTCCTGACCTTTCTATCAAGTTCATCCTATAATTTTTCTATCAGATTCAAATCCGAACTTTGGGAAGGCCACGTCATGATTTGGAGGGCACCTTCCTCTTCTTTGCAAGCTAGTAACGTTTGGATAATTGACCTGCATGATGGTAAAAACTCTTATCGGTTAAGGCACTCTCGATGGCACTGTCTTGCTTCCCAAGATGACTTTTTTTTGTGAGTAATTCCAGCAATTATAACCAAATCTCCTTGGCCGGCAAAAAAGAAAAAATCCTAAACACGAGCCACCTTCGTGTCTCATTGTTGGAACTACACAGGCCAATAACATTTTTAGTCTTTGTTTCTTTGAACAAAAATTCTACGTAATATTTGCCCGAAGACTTTATATTTAGATTCGTCAGCCCACAATACACTATTTCAGTTATTTTCATGCTCTCTAGTCCACCCAAAAGCGTTTTGTTAGTTCCCCCTCTACCGTACAGCACACCGACCGTGTAAATTGGCTAGATGTAAGCGCCTTTCTACGAACTTACGGAAACTTTGCTTAGCCGTCCCCAAATAAAATCTGCGGTTATTTCAGGGACTGTAAGGTGTCTCTTTTGCTATTCAATTTGAACTTTGGTCGTCGGCTGCTGAGGTGATGCAAGAGGAACCAGGGCGCTTGAGGTCTTTAAGATTTCCGCATTCTTAAAAAGGACGAACCCGCTCTCTCAACAAAGTACCGCACTGGAAAACCTTTTCGGTGGAGGATTCCAATCTCTTAACGTTTTCCAAACCCCAAGGCCTTTCCACCAACCATTTTGGATAAGCGTACTACCTATAGGTGCCCTTGGTAACACACCACTTATAAAAACTATTCGCTTAGTTTATGTGAAGTCTGCAGTATAAAAAAATTAATCAGGATTGGGATACTCTACATAATCGGGCGCTTCTAAGAACTCGGTAACTGCCCAATGGTTTTCGTGTAGAAATTTCTGTATTGGGCAAGTCGTCAACATTTGAATTCTAAAATTCTTCTAAATTATACATTCACTTTAGGATTTTATTAATATAGACCTAACCTCATAAGCTATTTCCGTTGCGAATTTAATAAACACTGCACTCAGGTTGCTATAATTTAAATTTTTCTTAACCGCACATAGGGTGAAAAAAAAAATTTAATAATAACTTTCTGTTACCGATAACATACACTGTGAACAGAACTCTAATGAGTGTTTTCTTTTTTAAAACCTGTCGTTACAATTTTTTTTTGTCAACTTTCTTTTTAAACCAGGTTTAAGAAAACTTTTTTTTAACCTTTCTTTAAAACAGTCCCACAAACATAACCAGCAGCAAGAATTAACCCATCTCTTGAATCCTTCGTGAGTTCCTCTCCGTTTGTTAACTTTATTAGTTCGGGTAGATTGGCCAATGCTGGGCATTCAAAGCAAAATCCTTTTTAGTAAAAAAAAAATAAGAATTAGTGGTAAAGGACTTGCCTTGTTACTCTAGGGGCCATGTTGTTAGTTCTTCCTTGAAGCCTTTTATTTGTACAAGTTAAAAGAAGAGTAATTACATAAACATAAATCCTTCTGTATACACTCTTTTTAAAAGACTCCTATATATGCATTATAGTCCCAGACAAAGGGTGGAATGATGGATGCTAATACCAACCCCTAATAGAATTAATGCAACTTATCCACATCGCGTTGTTGTGATAAGAGGAATAATTAAGGAAAACTTAACCGCTGATATCGCCTTACTGTTTAATCCCTTATAGTTACTGGTTACTATGTTTTACACTTGTCGCCTAGGTTCAATTTGAAAGAGTAGGTCTATGGTAATTGGCCCTAAGCGACAGGCACGGTCTCTGAAAAAAAAATCTCTGATAAGTTTGAGTACCATTTTCTAACGGATTAGGCAGCCACCGACAAAGCACAAGAAAGTGGTAAACTTAGTTACCAGGGAACGTTAAACAATCTGCTTTAAGCCCCAGAGTTTTCCCCGTCAAAGGATTAAAGGCTTGATTGAATTTTTCAGTTGCTTTTTTTTAGTTGAATACGGGGTTTGAAAATAATTTGATTCTACTAGGCCGTGAGTTATGGCTCCTCTGTAATATTTAAATGTTTTTGTACTATAATAAAACTTACTATTTCGAAATAAAAAAGATGTTTGACTGTCCCACAAATATTATTTAATGCAAAATAATTCTTTTATACTTTATAAAATTATCTAAAAGGTTAAAGTTAAAAACAAACTCTAATCGTTAACTAAAACTTTATATTACTTTTTATCGTAATGACAGCGAAAAACGCGTCTATGTTAACTTTAAATACTTTATAAAATTTTCTACTTTGAAAACATTTAGGTCAGAATTAAAACTTTATTTACTTAAACTATAAAGAGTTTGTTAATACGAATTAGAGGAAGCAAAGCAGACTTTTTATTGTTTTATCAAAATTTCTGTAAGGCATTTTAGTTATTTAGTTAAATTAGGAAGGTCATAACTTAACAAACTTATGCGCTCTGCAAGTTTACGATATAAAACGTTTTCTAACTTTTTTTTTCACGGTTCTGAGTAATTCTTTAAACTAAGTTAATCAAGCTATATACACTGTATTAGTTTCATAATATTCCAAAGTCTTTTTTAAAAAAAAAGCAGAGTAATTAAAATCAAACGTGTCACGTATACACAAACAGATACACCACTCCCGTGTAGCGAGACAAACTAGGGGAGCATGCCAAAAGTAAACTAAACTATACGTGCTTTTAAAATTAAAAAAAAAAAATTCATATAAAATAAAAGTCATTTTTATTATCAGTTCGAGAAGATCATAGAAGAGCTTCGTACAATGGAAGCCACTTATGATGGATAACAAAAATAAACTAACTATTCAGTATACTAACAAAATACAAACATAAATATAAGCAAGCTAAAGCACAAATGGCACTTGTTAGTTTAAGTTTCGCTTTTATCAAAGTAGCAACTGAATAAAAAGTATATCATGATAGATCATCTAATGCTTCTTTAAAAGCGTTAAATAAGTAAAACTTTCGGTAAGATAAATACTATGCATTAGGTGCATATACATACATTTGAAGAAGGGCCTCTAACAATAGGTACTGGCAATGAAGGAGGCCTGATTTAAATTATAACCAAAATAAAAGCCATTGGATTGATAAACTGCATTTTTGTGCTGGTACAACTCTTCTCTGATGGCATGAAGTTTATAAAAATTAGTTCTCATTTTACTTTTGGGTCCAGTCTTTTTCCTTGTTTCTGTTTATTTGATGTTATATATATATATATACAATATTTATTAATCCTGGCTAGCAGCAATTTGAGCTACCTCCTGTTGATAGTCTCGGGTGAGAAGCCAGTTTCTGAAGCTTATCTTACTTTTGTCCTTGAAGAGTTATGAGTGCTCCCTTGGAAGATTCAATGGTGAAGGGTCGTGCTACAAATAAGTTTACATTAAAAAAAAGTACATATAGAACGCAGAGTAGCGCTATAATAGGAAAATAAAAAAAATAAATAGGTGTTATGTTTGAAAGGATTCGGAGGCTTGGCTACTTATGTTTTATATATAATTATAACTATAAAAATTACCTCATTTTATTACTATTACTTTTACCTGACACACGCACAACTCCTTACAAAGTTTTTAACTTCACCATTTTACGAGTAGTGTCAAGGATGCGCATACCTATTTTTTAGTTTTGATAGCCGTGATACTGAGGGAAATACGGACTGTGTTCAAAGACTTTTGCAAGACTTTTTGAAAATTATCTGTTTATTAATATTTGCAAGTTTTTAGTATTTCACAAAAAAACTTTTAGGATTGACTTGCTCTTAAACTTATTAAAGCGATTCTAAACGTCTCAACTATATTGTTTAAGGGAAGACAAATTTTATTTTAATAGCTTTGGCAAGCGTAGCTTCACTAACAAAAAAAGTACGCTTGTGTGTGACCTGAATTGCGGAGACCAAATATTATGAAGAATTTGTACAATTTTTAAATTTCCTAAGGTGTAACACAATAAAGAAAATTAATACTGAGAAAATCACACGACTAGGCATGGGGAGCCAGCATCTCTTTTCTTACTAAATTTTTAAAAAAGTTTGACTAAAGATTTCTACTTTTATTTACCTTCTATATTTTGTATTTATTTTTTTTTTACTAAAATCATATAATTTATTTATTAACTTTTGTCCTAATGCATATTTTTGAAAATATATTTTTAATTAATAAATGGCGCACAGGTATTGAAGTCCTTATTCTACACCCTTTGAGGATCTAACTTGGGAAAACCAGAGTATAAAAATTTTAAGTATCTACCGGTACGCTCACTCATAATTACAAACACTGAAAGGGATTTAAATCATAATTTACTGACTTTTTAGTAAATTTAGTATTTGTAGTCAATATTACAAGTTTTTTTATTATTGCGGACTTTTACAAACCCCCGAGCTCAGGAATTTCAAAAATGTGCAGCATGCGATCTTTCAAGGCGCAGCTATAAAGAAAAAATTAAATAAGCTGCAAAGAGTTTTACCAAAAAACGAAATATATTAACCGAGAAGATTGTTTCTTCTTCGCCTTGTCGCTCACAACCGCAATAACATTTTTTTTAATAAAATAAATTCCTTTTAAAAAAATTAAGAAACTAACTGATCAAATATTTACTAAAAAATAAAAGTTTTGTTAATAAATATATACTTTGCCAAGTTATTATAATTTATAATAAACTTTATAAAATTAAGTTAAAAAGTAAAAAAACTAATATTAGTCATAAAAAAAATTCACGCAAGTCTTGAAAAATATAAACATGAAAGTAAATAAAAACTTTACAAACCTTCCACATTGCAATAAGCAATTTTATTTTTCTTACGACGAGGAAATTCATAAACTGATCATAAATTTTTAAAAAAAAGTTATGTGGAAAGAAAGGGCGTCTACCAGCTCCACTTTTAGACCAGTCGATCTCCTCAACCTGCAGGTTGTAAAGAAAAAATAAAAAAACTTTAAGCGCTTTAAAAAAATAAAAAAATCTTTTACGTACACTTTCAAAATCTGTAATCCACACGGCACTATCTTGCTGGGTGGTCACCTAAATAAATCAAATTTATAATAATTCTTTTGTAAACTACGAAAAAAATGTTTCTTATAGCGAGTAATAATAAGCCTTACCGCCACGCGTTTATATTCCGAAGAGATTGCCAGATCAGAATAATCCTTAAAGTGTAGTGACTGTGGTAACTCGGATGCCCTAATCACCTCCCAACTGAGTTTTATAAATTTAAAAGCCATAGAAATTTTATTAAACTCGTTGAGCGTGAAAGTAGAGAATATAAAATAATTTTGACCGACACCCTGAGGACGGAGTAGCAGATCTATAAACAGCTGTTAGCACCACGCCTCGACTTGTGTCTCCTTTCTTACCTCCCCGACACCCGTTCCCTGAGGATTATTTATGATCTAAACTGTTTTTTACTTTTTATTAAAACACCTTCACAGAGTAGATAAGCTGCTTTAGAGCCATCTTCTCTAAAAATGTGAATTCCTTCTAAACCTTTTTAAATTTACTTTAAAAATTAGCGATCCCTGAAATATGCACAAAATTTTCTACCAAACCTTTATTATCTGTTTTGAAGGAATAGTTAACGAAGCAAGATTCTATAGGGGTGTAGTTCCTGAGATCTGAGCTTAATGAAACTTCTACAATCTTTGCATTATAGCTTTCGCGAGTTCTTGAGTTACTAATAGCCTCTTGCAATAGGAAGAGATGTCCCGTTAGATTGTCGTAAAAGATGCCTATAGAGTTGCTTTATTAATAATGTGGCTTCTATCTCTTTTATGCTTAAGATATCGCAACCCTCAAATTCAGATTCTGTTTGCTCTTCCGAATAAATAAAGTTATTTTCTGTTTAGTATAAAAAGGTGTAAGAGTTTTGCAAAACTTGAAAATTAAATAAAGTTAATAGTTATTACCAGGAATTCTATGTGTGTGGTTTTCGATTTTAGCTAGAAAGGTATCAGAATCAAAGACGACATAAAAAGAAGAGTTCACATATACGACCCCACTTGCTTCAAGAGAAGATTCTTTTTTATGATAGTGGTAAAAACTTCGGCAAACATTGTCTAAATAAAATATTTAACCTTGCTCGGGCAATAGCTCAGACAACTTTGCTTCTTCTATAAGTTTAAGTGTATGCCTAAGGCTTTTACTTCGGCCTTTTATATTACCATTCTTTAATTGCACCGTGAGGGGAGTGGAGAGAATAAAAAAAATAACCTTTAGCCTGGGCAAATAACTGAAGGAGAGCGAAAAATAAGGAAAGAGCATAAGTTTTAAGCATTAGAAGAGTCACTTATAAACCCTTTATAGAAGGTAAACTAAAGTTAGAAAAATTACATCGAAGACAGTAAATTTGCTCTGATTAATATATTAAAAATCCTAGTAGTATAGTAGCTACCGCCCTGTCGAACTGCCTACATTCTACAACAAATTCTAACGGACGTGACAGTTGACAAAACAAAAAACACCGCAGAGCGTAAAGAGACTAAGAGGACAAAGCCCTCACCCACCGCTGCAACAAAGCAGAAAGATCAGGCTAAGAGCCTTTTATATTCAGTTACAATCTTCTTTTATAAAAGTATAACATTTTAACAACCAATAACATAGAACAGAGAAAGATGAAAAAAGAGACCAATAAAATTATATGATGAATGTATATAACTAAATCTATCAGAAAGTAAGAACGCTAATCATGAATCTCAGTAATATATTAGTTGATCTCGCGCTACTAAATTAAAGTATATATGGTTATGCTTATTTATTTACGTTTTTGTTATTTTGATTGTCCGTACGTAAATCGTTCATTTATAATATAGTACCTCTTAAGTGACAAGTAGAAAAATATATATCTTTATTGGGTTACACCTAAGAGCTCTTTACCTCGGACATATACGTGATGTTTGCATTTTTACATTCTGACGCACATCCTTCTGAGTTCCTAATTTTACGGATATTCACTACGATTATTTTAATTCATTACTCTGAATGGTCTTCATTAGGGTCTCAGGCTCTAGACTTAATAGCTAATGGTTGGAAAATCTGATGATTAAAACCAATTAAGAAAGGATAAAAGATTAAGAGCAGCAGAGAGAAGGTTTGCGGTTATTGAAAGATTATTAGAAAGGGCCAGCCTATATCTAGAAAATGAAGCTTAAATACTTTATGTGCTAAACACAAATTTATCTAATATGGATAATGCTTCTTGACCCATTATACTTGGCGCAAGCTAATTTAATAAACTTAATCTTCTTCTCTATCTGGGTCACTTTAAAGACACTACGGTTAAATTGGAAAACCAACGCGTTCAAATACGAGTATTATTGCACTTTTAAACACGACAGAAGTAATATAAATACAAACAAAGTGATCTTTCAATTAAATAAACTTAACAAAACGGTGAATATAAAATATTGTGATAAATACCACCAAAGTTTTGCGTTAAGGTTTAATACTTTAACACGCTCATGTTTGTTTTGCATATGTACCAGGGGTGTAGCTACTTCAGTACGGGTGTCAGCTAAGTATTAAATTATCGCCTTTGCTATAAATTGATTATAAACACTTTTAAAGGAGTTCTAAAAGTCTATAACTCGCAAAACCGAAGGGGACCTTAAAGTTTAATTATAATAAAGCAAAGGATGAGAGGAGCGAAGGGTTTTTCATAGATTACAAGCAAAGCAATTGCGATGTACGTATTAAAGATCATAATGCAGTTAAACTAAAAGTCAAGTTACTTTTTACCATAAAAAAAAGTATACCGCGGAATAATTGCTTAACATAAACAATTCATAAAAAACAAAAAAGGTTTGTGGTGTGAACTTTAAACCGTGTTAAACATATTTATTTAAGTACAAACGTGCCCCATATTATCTTATATAGCTTAATAGTGTCACGACTTTCAATATAGCACTCTATCTACACTTAAGTTAAAAAATGATATAAAGATAAAGTATATAATAGTTTTTATTTCGAAAGTGTAGGTTATAAGACTATTAATTTAATTAACAATAACTAGTAGTTAATGTATAAGAAAGACAGCTAAGCTTTATATTTTATTAATTATTCTTTTTTCAATGTATGCTTAATATTATAATTAAAAAATCTTTTTTGCCTATGCGCAGTTTTTTAGTATTTCTCATAATATAAATGCCCCTTTAATGTCACTCCCAAACCCACCCCTCTTCACCCAAAAAAAATATTAAGCAGGGCCACTCAAAGCAATATTATAAACAAGTAGTAGTAATACCAAATTTCCACCGAATATGAAATAAAAAAAAAACTAAAAGTTGCAATAAATTTATTAACTAAAGTTTCCCAATACTCTCAAAGTGAAATGCAATATTGTCACGAGAACAAAATCCAGCTAGCAAGCTTTTTATCGAAATGCCAGTAAGTTGGACAGGTTAGTAAATTAAAAAAAGAGAGCGAAATGCAATGCCCCCGGCGGCCCGCAGTTTTCTGCTTTAATTATTGGAGGCGCTATCGCCTGCGGGCCCCTCCTTCACATTAACCTCAAAGTCATATTCCTATTGGATAGACGAATATATAAAATATTCAATGGGCCATGACTCAAAAATCGGACCTGGTCAGCGCCCATATAAGAATCGCACACAACAAAAAGTTTGTAGTTGTGCGTGCCCTTTTCGGGCGCAGAAAATTCAAGCTTCAGTTTCCCGTGACGGTGTAACGGTATCCGTTTAATAGACAGCAGTAAATTCGTCTCTTTTTGGCCAATGACACACCACCAACTTTCATCCTTTCTCTGTAGTAAAACAAACCAATCAGGAACATGGTGGACACCACTACAAGCAGTCCAAGGACCATTGGATAAAATGGTGCAATGACGGGCTCTAAAGGAGCGTCTAGATCGGCGATGTCCTCTTCGTCGTCTCTGTCGAGTTGCACGTGGATAACGACAGACCCGCCGCTGTAAATGTTATCAGCGTCGACAATTTGATAAGTTACGTCGATAGAGGGGTAGCGATTGCAGAAAGCTACCAATATAATAGTAAAGAAAAAGGCAGCGTTTTGTTGAATAGCTAACGGCACCTGCCACATCGTGGAGCTGCTGATCACTCAGCTGTAGTGTCTTGTTTCTCAAGTCGTCGTCCATTTCCATGATGTCGTATATGGCTGATCACAAAAAAGCCCAACGAACATATAATCATTAAGAAAATGCAAAAAAATGCACAAATACCATCAACTCCGGCCGCCTTGCACCGCTCAAGTATAGGCTCCGAAAAGTGAGGCAACTGCTTCATATAAGAATCACTATCCCATAACCCTTTAAAGCATGCAATCACTATAATAGTAGAACGAAAAATAAAAGGCACACCTTGAACCACCATCTGCGCGGTGTCCATGGCAGCTAACGCGGGTTTTAACCAACCATTGCTGCTGAGAACATCCACACACGCCTAGAATAAAACCAATCATTACTTAGAATAAAACAAACGAAAGACAATGGCGAGCAATAGCACCTGGATAAGGCGAATGGCGTCTTTGAGTACGAGATCGAGGTCCGTCTGTAACTCTGCGGTCAGCTGAATGCGTGAAAAGTGGGCCTGAAGTAGAAGATGAGTTTTCACGTGGGGATCAGTAAACTTGGGATTCTGAAGCTGAACGGGACAGCGGGTTGCCAGCTGTCGCAAAAGACGCTGCAAAGCAAATAAGTATAAAAACTAATGAAACTAGTAAAAAAAATAAAGAACCGACCTCCTCGCGATGGCGGATGGGCACGCTTTTATACTCGGCGGCGTGCGCAATAATTTCTATGAGGCCCTTCACTTTAGTCTTTTCCGTAAGCGACATGCTAAAGACTTCGATGGTGGTGTACTCGATGTAATAGTACGAAGCAATCATGCCTGCAGCCAGTGATTAAAAAGAGGACAATACACGTGGTGGGCAGCAGATAGAAAAACCCAAATTAAGCGGTGAAATATCCATTTCGTCCTCAATAACAACGCAGCGAGACTCTTCCAAGTCCTGCAGAGTAGCCTCGACTAAGTCCGACAGGTAATCCGATATGTGCCGATTGGTGACGCCTGTCAACAGCGTCAAAAAAGCACGTGCTAAATAGCGTACAAAAACCCACCAGTCATGTTGTAGTAATTGGCGTTCTTGGGAAGCCTGCGGTAAAAGTAAGTCCAGGTAAGATAGTCGACGGCATCCTGCTTGTTCTCAATCGTCTGTGTGACCACCTCGGCAACCACGTGGTTGTGTAAAAAGTGATTCAAGTGTGACTCGACGGGAAGCATTTCTTGAAGAAACTTCTTATAAAGCTCTTTTTTACTGGTTAAAATAAAATGGATGAGTGAAGTAATCCCTACGCACGTGCAACACCACCTGGTCTGGCAGAGAACTATTGCTTTGCTAGACTTGTCAACGGCAGGCCGGTTAGCCCTGCCAAACATTTGTAGCATGTCCAGAATGGAATAGTCGATGTACCTTGCAGTAGCACGTGACACGCAAGAAAACACGTGACATTGAGGGAAGACAAGGGAACCTGTGGTCTCTCCCATCGTAGTATTGGGTGTCCATGACCACCACGAGGTGGCAAAAGACGTCCACTTCCCAGCAAACTTCCCGTGTGCACACGAGAATCTGAACGGCATTAGTGGAAAACAAAAATTTGATGGCCTTCTTTTCGGTTTCCGATAACCCTACAAAGAAAAGGCGCGATGAGAGCGGAAAGAGTGTCGCACGAATGAGAATGCCTTCGTGGTAGTAGCCAATGCCACTTTGGATGGTTTCCTGCAGAGCCTTGTCCCTTAGCAGTGGTAAGTAGGTGTCAAGGTCTGAACTTTCGCAGTGCAGGAATTGTCGAGGGCGGCTGTCCGACACGCTGAGACTCATAAGTTCAATAGCCGTCAAGCTAGCCTTGAAGTCGCATGGCACTTCATAAGGAAAAAAGAGACAGAAAAAACATGTGGACCTGCTTCCGGGAAACCGTGAATACGATAACCGGCTTTTTAGGAGAGTGTTTCATTATATTTGAGTAAACCGGCCTTAACATGGCAGACAAGCGCTGGCCGCTGTGGACAATATTGAATCCTATTCGGGAAAAGTAGACACCAAACACAAGGAAAGGTTTGAGATATAAATAGAAACCTTGAAAGTGGATCTCCAATGGAACAGGCCGAACATTGGGATGAAAGTTGAAGATACAGTGGGAGGGAACACCCAACCAAGATGCCTGCCACGTGAAAACACGTGATGGGGTCCAAAAAAGATCAGGAAAACCAATTACCATTTCCTTGGCATAAGCCAATGACGACGAAAGAGCCACAATGCGTATTTTGTTTCCCGTTTGACTCTCGATGTACCGCATGCGGGAGATGATAACCTCGAGGGTAGGACCGGACGGCCCGCCAAGCAAATGGAGCTCATCGCAAATAAACAGCGCCGTATTTATAACGTTCTTTCGTTGTTTCCAGCGTCGTGATAGGATGTCCCAATGCTCGGGCGTCCCCACAATAATTTTTGCGTTACTGAGTAACTTCAAGTCTACAGTGGTGTCCCCTTTAAAACCAAAAAAATAACAAAAATTTAGTGAATGCTTTTCACTCAAGAAGTAAAAGAAGCGACCAACCCGTGAGAAGAATAACAGGCACGTCGAGAGTTGCAAAACGCTCGGACCAATCATGAAATCTAATGATAAAATAAATAAGCTTCCGAGTAGCACATGCTAATAGTCAAAAAATAGTGAAAACCTTTGCCTGACCAAAGCAGCAACCGGAGCGATATACACGCAGCGGCCTTCCGACTGGCTGGAGAGAAAATTAAGAATGACAAACTCTGCACAAAAAGTCTTTCCGCTGCCAGTAGGGGCGGCAACCAGTACGTTGTCGGACGACGAATAAAGCGCACTGAAAACCTTTCAAGAAAAAAAAATTAGATAATAAAGCAACAATTATAGTAAATATAAAAGTCGGCGGACACCTGTGTCTGAATTGGGTTTAAATAGTCGAAGCCTTCGTAGAGGTGCTCGTAGGCTTTATTCTGTAGAGCCGAGAAGGGTAGCGGCTGCAGGTCCAAGAGGTTAGTGGGCGGGACGGCCTTGTCCGGCAGAATGAGATGGCGAAAGCTGATTGGCTTAAGCATCTCAGGGGTCATCCTAATAAAAAGTGACATTCAGATGGCAATGTCACACTTGGACGCCCATGCAGGAAATTCACCATCGGTCCGACACGATGCGAATGAAATACTGCGGAGGCATTGGATCGTAAACGGGGATAAAGAAGCTCAGCGAGTGGTCGTCTTCGGCATACTTGTCCTTAAGCACAAAAAATTCGGAATGCAATATTATTTCCGAGTCCACATCCTCAACAAAAATCCAAAAAGACAGAGAGCGGCCATGCACTTCGGCGTCCCACTTGAAGTCGGGCGTTAAGGTCAGCTCGACACGCAAAGTATTACTCGTGATTGGTTGGATATGAGCCTCGAGTTCAAGCTTTGGGATGGAATGCACACACTGATGGAGCCGCTGTCCTATTTTGGGGACCCGCACGTGATTACCTACAGGTGAATAGTGAGGAGACCGATAAACAGTGGACTAATCAGGCAGATAAAAAAGGACCGAGAATGGTTGGGGACATGTCATAAAACCGCTCAAAGGGAAAGTCTTCGACTCGTTCGATGTGCTTAATTACGTCGGCGGGAATCTTCTTAAATTGTCTATACAAGAAAAAGGAGTAGGCCCGCGTAGCAGCAAATGCGCTAATAAGAAGAAACCTGAGCGGCGTCATGGACTGCCACATCCGGCAGTCAATCATTTTGCAGATATTCAGCGCCTTCACTGCAAGTTGTGACCAACCGCGGCGGAGAACGATTTCAAAGATTGCTCGAAAGAGACGTGAGGCAGACTGCGTGATGTAAACCTAAACCCACGTGTAGGGGCCGCTCAACAAATTAAAGTTGGAAAAATTAGTGAGGGTGGAGCAGAGCAGACCATGTCAGCGCGGAGGGCAAAGCCGTCCAGACCCAGCTGAGAAATATAGGCTTGCAGAAGCACGTTTACTTTGGCGCTTGGCTCCTGCAAGCAAATGAACGAGAGGAACACACTGCGAGCGGGCCAATGGGGGACCTCAATACTCTCCTTGATTGGAATAGGGACGCGCTCAAGCAGCGTGGTCAGCTCGATTTTCTCCTCCTCTCTCACTGCAATGTGCTGAAACTCGCCGGACAGAGAAAACACGCGGAACAAATCAATATCGCACAATGTCGGCTTCAGTAATTGGTTGTAGGTGGCCTGGCCAATGATCGGCAAGAATACCAAACAACATTATCCAAAAAAATAGTGAAGTGGAGAGCACCATGGTTTCGTGAGAAATGTAATAGTGGCTGGCAATCCGGCCCAAGTCGGTGCCCTGAAAACTACGAATCCAAATATTTTTAACTCCCAACCAAATAATCACATAAAAAAGGCGCACCCGCCAGTCTTCCGATCATATTTGATCAAGTTATTCTTATCAAGCAACGTGGCGGCCGTGTGAACCAAATCCGCCCTACGTTGGTCGAGGGTCGGGTCATCTTCAAGTTCACCGGGTTCAATGTCGTATATGGCCGGTGCCCGCAACATGCGGATGTACAGATATGTGCTCCTGTAAGCCCATTAGTTAGGCACAACGGAAAAAAGGGCGGCCTGGGAGTTAAAATACATACGCTAGCCACTTCTGCGCGTCCCTGCTGTTCAGCACGGCGCCAAGAACTATTTCGGCATTAAGACAGTCCGCCAGCCGAGATAGAAGTTGGCTTTCGACTGGTAATTGGGTGTTTTGAAGCGAGAGATAGTAGCAAAGCTCCTGATGACTGGTTATTAGATAGCCCTCCCCAAGGGTGTCATACTGCGGCCGGCCTGCACGCCCAAGCATTTGCAGAACATCCAAATGGCTAAGCTCGACCCACGCCCCTTTAACGGGGTTGTAGACCTGACAATAGGCGAACAGATAAGTATAAAGTGACCAATAGGATGGAAAAAGAACCTGAGTCCCCTTAATAATAACAGTGTGAGCGGGCAGATTAACCCCCCACGCGAGAGTGGCGGTGGAAACGAGCACTTGGATGTGCCCGTCAGCAAAAAGATCCTCCACTGACGTCCTGTCCACTCGCGTCATACCTGGAGGCAGTAGACGGGGTGAGCGCAGCGAATAACAAAAGATTATCGGAGGACGGATACCCGCATGGTGAATGCCGAACCCGAACGGCAGAAGGTCCTTGAGCTCAGCATTAGTGGTTTCCTCTGCAAGTTGGCAAGGTTTGGGTAATGCGAGTCTTCGAACGTAAAAAAAAGGCACCTGTAGCTAATCGCAACACAGCATGACTGGCGCTGCCTTCTTTCATAAAAAATCCGAGCGTGTCGTTATCTAATGCCATGTCTCGTAGCTTTCTGGCCGTCTTCCCGGTCTCCTTGCGGGAGTGCACAAACACAAGCAGCTGCTCTTTTCCTGCATACTGAAGCACTTTTTCATAAACAATATCGTCCATAATTTTCATTCTCTTAATAGCCTGAAAAAAAGAAAAAAGTGAAAAAATAAACAGCAGCCATTATAAATGTGCCTTCTTCTCAGTAATGCCAATGAAATGCTGCTGCAGAGGGACGGGCCGGTAAGAATTGTCAAAAAAATAAAGACCCTTTTTATGGTCAACTTTGAGGAAGTCAGCAACGTCCTCGTAATTGGGCAGCGTGGCGCTTAATCCAACCAATCTGAAGCATCCGTCAGTAAAGCGGGGCTTGCGGGTAACTTAAAACCACGTGGAACCTTGTAGGGATCTGCGAAGTTTCCGTGATCCTCAGCGTGCGGGAGACGATACTCTCCAAAACTGGCCCTCGTTCGTCGTGGAGGAGATGAATCTCGTCAATAATAATCAGTCGCACCTCGAGATTCAAAAATTTCATAAAAAACGTGGATCACGAAAAAAAATGTTTTTTTTTTCATACAAGAGCCGTGAAGCGCCGTTCGTTGCCCTTCCGAGTCACAATGTCCCACTTTTCCGGTGTGCAGACGATGACCTACACGTGCGAGTGAGTAAAAAAAATAAATTCGGTAATTCCTAAATACCTGCGTCGAATCTATTTGCTCTTTAGTCAACTGCTGATCGCCAGTGAGTTCAGCAACGGTGATCCCGTAATCTTTCAAACGAGCGGAAAACGACCCTAAAAGTGATTTTTAACGCAAAATCTATAAAAAGTGATGATAATTAAGACCAGTTTGCTCCGCAACAAGCGACTTCATCGGCGAAATATACACGATTTTAAACGCCTCTACATCAAATTTTTGATTCGCAAGCTGATGCTTCCCCAACTAACCATGGAAAGTCTATAATAAAAAACGAAAAACAAAAAAAAATCAACTTCTCTGAGAATGCACAGCATTGCAACGTTAGTCTTGCCAGCGCCCGTCGGTGCGCACACCAGTAAATTTTCGTCACTAAACAGGCAAGGCTCGTACAAGCGGCTTTGAATTAGATTCTATTAAAAAAATTAACCATTAAAAAAAAAATTAAGAAGGCTGGAACCTACCAGTCGCCTGTATTTCGAAAATGCCGGCTGCGCAAAATCAGGCATGGACTCTACGAGGACGGCTGACTCGCTTTCCTCTAACGGAGGCTTCGCGGCCGGAATGTGGATCTCCTGGTAACCCTGCAAAAAATAAAAATCAGCACAAAACAATTTAGGTGTCCAGCAAAATTTTCATAAAGCGTTAACCTTCTTGTCTTCCTTACGTGTGCCTTCCGGCAAATCGCAACGCTTCGATGCAAGAAAGTGTCCGCCATTTGGAAATACCAAGTTATCCAATTCAAGCAATGTTTTTCCATGTGCGCCGTCAATGTCTACGTCCATGACGTCAAGCTCTTCGTCCATTCTAGCTTTCCTGGAAGCTTCTTTTCTGGCCGCAGCAGCCTTTTGAGCTGCTCCATCGTCGCCGCCCTTCACAAGATTACGAATTAAAAAAAACTCCAATAAAAAAAAATTCCAACTTTAAAAATGCTTAAAGCCTCAGAAAGTTCGGGAATGCTTCTCATTTTAGCCTCAATTTCTTCCTTTTCAGCTGCTGTTCCGGCTTTGGCAAGTTTAGTGCAGTAAAGAATCAAGTAACGATTACGCCGGAGTGTGCGTATAAAATCAAAGTTGTCGTAGCCTGCAAGCACAATCAAAACATGCACAAAATATTTCATAAACCAAAAAAAAGTGCCTAAAGAAAGGACTAGTTTATTTTCGATCTCACGATCATTTCCTGAAGAATCCAAAATCTCAAGAACTTCTAAAGACTTCTTCTGAGAAGCAAGAGCATCATAAAACTTGGACAGCTGCCTTTGCAGCCAATAAGCATCTAGCAGTCTGAAGGTAAAAGCAAATAATATTTCGATTAAAAAGTAAAATTACTAAAAAGGATACCTCGGATCTAGGCTGTCTTTGCTGCCAGCAGCGACATCTTCGGCGGCAACGCCTCCACCCGCAAGCGCGTCTGTGGCCATGGTATCTTCACCCTCCTCTTCGTCGCTGCTTTTTTCAGACTTGACCTCTTCTTCATCCTCAAAAACAATAGAAACGCCGATGTTCTCATCAATGGCAGTATCTTAAAATAAATTTAAACGTAGTCTAAAAATAAAAATCAAAAAAAAACATAAAAAATAACCTTCTTCCTCCTTGTCTGCGGTATAGTCAGTAATTTTCTTTCCTAAAGTCGTTAACTGATAGAATTTATCATCATCTAAAACATTTAAAAGAGCCTCTATCTCTTTTTTTTTGTCTTTATCCTTTTATGTGCGTAAGCAAATTATAATTATTCTCGAGAAAAAATTAATATCTACAAAAAGAATACCCTAAGCGACTCATCCTTTAGATAGGCAAGAACTTCATCAGCGGCATTATATAGAACATCTCGGGGAACATCACCCAAAAATCCTTGAATAAAGCTCAATAATAGCTCATAAGTTTGCTTGGTTTCACGCGTAGAAGGTCGATAGAATAATCCCACATAGTTTTTGGCTGAGGAACTTGAAAGCACCATGCCTTTTTTCCCTTCAGGCTCCTTTCTTTTACTGAATAGATCATACGAAGTAATAAGTAATGAGTTGGGTAAAAGAACCTAATAATATATATATATACTTTAAACGTTTCTTTAATTCTTTAGGAGGTTCAGCACGTTGAAAACGAGAACCCATTTTTTCTCCCTTCAGTTTGTCTCTTAAAGATAATACTTCACCAGTTGCTTCATCCCTGCTGATTTTTGTGATCATAGAACGATCAGCCTGTAGGACAAGGCTGGCAGTCTAATAAAGAAATCAGTTAAAATAAATTATAAGACATGCAAAAAATTTAAAGCTTGTAGGGAGCTTTTACTATTGTAATAAAAATTAAAAAAATAGCTTACAGCTTTATACTCATATTGAGATTGCCGAGCGCGTTTCTCAGCCATAATACTTTACTTTGTTATCGCTGCACAGCCAAAATACGTAGCTTTACAAAAAAATAATTTAAGTAATGAAGTGAAGATCCAAACTGCCTAGCCTTGTAACAATAAAATGTTTCATGCACACGAGGCGGGGGGTTGTAATTTTGCTTACCAAGTAGCTGGAGGCCACGCACATGGTGGACTCAGTTTTATGTTGCGCCATCTACTACACCGGTCATCTTTACTACTTTTTTATATTATTACTTTTATTATTCTTTTTACTTAACCTTTAGGCTAATTATAAAATATTTAAAATGGAATTTTTAAAGTAAACAGCAGAATCTTACTCCTTTTTTATAAATGAACTATCTTAAAAAAAATTATTGTACTAATTAGTCTCTATCCTTAATGTTAACTATTTTATAGAGGATTTTGGTTAAACCAATATTTATTATTCTGCTTTTGCATTCTAATATTTTCAGGGAGAATTACGTCAAGAGCCCCTTTATTGTAATTAAAAATTTATTTAGTAATTATCTACAGCTTAGCCAAAAGTATCTTTCAAATTTATTACAAATAACGTTTAGTTAAAATTATTCTTTAGTATTTTTGTAAATATACCGTATAAGTTTTCTAAAAAATATATATATTAAAATAAAAAGTAAAACTTTAAATATTTGGGTGCCAAGTTTTGTAAATAATAAATTATTGTTGTTTTGATAAAACGTTAACTTCAGGCTATTTTAATGCAATAAATACAAAGTAATATGTCAAAGACGATAAAAAGGGTTTTTGAAACACAAAGAAAAATAATTTACTAAGTTAAAAGGCTTAATATATCTCTTTGGAATTTTTTATTTTCCTAATCTTTCTTAAGTTTCCTCCAAGAACTTTTTATAAGTTTCATAGTTAACTTGCTAAGTAGAATATTTGTTGAACAGTAAAAACTTGAAATTTAAGTTAAAAAAATTTACTTATTACAAAGTTAAGTACTTAAAAAAAAATTTTTTTACGGCCTTCATACCGGCGGACTGCCTTTAGCTGACAGAATGGCTTTGAAACCTTAGTTCGTTAAGCTATTATTGATATATGAGTTATCAGGTTAGCCTTCGCCTTGACTGACCTCTCAGATATAACAAAGCTAACTCTATAGCTAGCCTATGCCATATTCCCGCTTAACCCCCAGCTTTGTAGAAGACCAATCTTAAGTCTACTAGACTCCACCCTAAAGTATAAGCCTTTAAGACTAGAACAACAACGTAGCTAGACGGAGATCTCGGCGTACATAAAGTTAAAACTTAGAAACCCCAAACGGATTGTATATTTTATTATTTGAAAATAAATTTCTTTGTGCTCAGTCTGGTTAAAAAAGTTTACGAAATGTTTCTACAATAAAGTTCAACCTTAATGAAGTTTAAACATCTAGCCAATATACTAAACCCAAAGAGTACCATGTTGATGGCGAGTGTATAATGTTTAGGCTCGTGTTAACTCACAGAGAAGTTTTGAGTTTAGAGTCATTTGTAAGTTTAATTAACATTGCTTTTTAAAAGATATCCAGAGGCTCTGTGTAATGATCTTGAGGTGGAGCAACAGGTATAAAAGCCAAAAATAAATTGTACATAAGAGATACGAAAAAAATCTTTAATTATTTAAAAATGTATTACTCATATGCCCATTTACGTATTATATATTGTTCATTAATACTGTTATCTTTTCTAGGTGCTGATATATCAATCCATTATTTTGAGAACTGTTTGTTTACGATGTTTAGAGCATCTTTTGCATAAGCAATCGCGCAAGTTTCGACACGCATCCTCTTGTTTTGTACCTGAAATCGTAAAGCCATCTTAGTACAAAACATATTTCTCGTAAAAATTTATTAGAGAAAAAAAAACAAACAAAATTTGAAGTGGACAAAAAGTTAATAGTATTTTGAACGTAAAAAATAAGGTTCCCAATGTTTGATATAACAAGCTTAGAAACAGAATTATTAATTTAAAGCACACTTCATTATAAAATTCCGTGTCTTTTGTCAGTATGTTTAAAACATTGCATAGAGCTCAATTTATGACTTGGCTGAACGAATTAATAGAAATTTTAAGTTATAAATAACCCTAACAAGTACCTGCTTATAAATAGGTTTCTAACAGATTTACTTGAGAGAAGTTTTAAATGGACATATTAACCAGCAGGAAGTTCTTTGGAGCAAAGCAAACTCTAAAACGACTTTTAGGTTGCTTATTAAAAAGCATATATTTTCTGTTATTGAATAATAACTGCTCGGATGTTGGCAAAGTAGTAAAAAAAAAAGACTGAAGCTCATGAAGAAGAAAGGTTCCCCTATAATCAAATAAGTAGATCTACTTAATAGAATATTATAAAGGTCCACTGGTACGATAGGTTGACTATTACTCTCCTCCTCTGGACAGTTATAAGCGCTCTATCTTACTCTCAAAACTGTATCATATATAAGCTCTTTTTTTGCGTATTATGGAAATTAGGCATCAAGATTCTCCGGCAATTTAAAGAATACTTGTATTATATTTTTTAACAATTAAAAAATTGTTTTATTTATAAAATATTTATTTATCTGGCATTAGCTGCTTCCTTTGTTGTTTTAATGTTTCATATGTTTTTTAATAATAATAATAAGTATAAACAAAACAACTAGTTAGATAATCTCTGTTTTTATTTTATTAAAACAAGTCATGAGACCTTTTGAGTCAAGGTGCGGGCTAGTGATCGTCATTAGCGCCTATGTTCCCTACATCAACGTGGACAATTAGTAGGAAAGGTAATACGATGTCCAAAAAGTTGTTTTTATGGGTCTTTTTATGAATCTTGCCCAATAACTCTTTTTTAATTGAGAAAAGGGTATTTGATGATATGGGAGAATATTAGTCTGGGATCAATGGGAAATCGAGAAAATCAAAAGCAGGAAAAGGTGTTGAGATTAATAACAACCCGAAAATGGGACGTTCCCAGTTGGGCGCAATTTAAGGGGTTCACATACTCGTTCCTCTCCCACTTAGAGCTTATGCAACAAATTATTGTACCCCATTTTGAACATGGAAGAACCTATTCCAGAGTTTAGGAAGAGCTCACAGGCTTTGGAGAAGCTCAAAGTGATTACCTTGACTTGCGTTACTTGTTTATTATTAACTTTATAACAAATAACCAATGATCTATATGGCCCCTTTGAGAAAACATGTACTCTCACAGAGCAATAAACTATTATTTTTTAGTAATAAAGCTCCGACAAGCGTGTACGCTTACAGAATATGGTCGTCGTTTATGTACCTTCGTTAAGTGAATGGTGACAGGGCCACAGTTAATCATTCGCAAATTATTAGAGGCGCACAGTTTAATCTCGCTTTTCTTTCGAACTTAATCTCTGAAAATTTTTGATTTTAGTACATGAATCACATCTAAGAAGTATTCCATATCATTTTAGTATTATAATATCTCATTATTATTTTTAAAAATTTGGTAGGGCCCAAGTATCTTAAGATTTTATCCATTCTAGCTTTGTTTTAGCTACATTTGTTAACGCAGCGCATTTGTAGTGTAAGCCGTTTCGCTCAGCAATAGTTTCAAATCGATAGCTTCGGAAACTGTTCCGTCAGTTCGTTGCAATCATCCATCAACAAAGAATTACCCATACTTTTATCTTTACACTTACTACACTTACGAGATTACCAATTAAGGTATATTCATCGAAGATTGTTCGCCGGAAGAGCTGAATTTCAATTGTTAGACTTTAACTCTTCGATAATTTTGATGCGTAGGAAAAAAATTTATTATGCTATAAAAGTATGACAACTAACTTTTGATTAAACTATAGTGTCTTTCGCCAGAGTATAAGTATTACGTGATTATCTTAATTTAATAAAATGAAACCGAAGACCTCTTGTTTTAGGTCGCTTAAAGCTCTTTGTAAAGAGTTGGGTTTTTACAAGTACAATGTATCCCGGGGATGTGTAGTTTTCTCATACTGAAAACATTCCTCACCCTTTAATAAACAGGTGCCTTTATTGTGGTCACTTTTCCGCATCAATAACATGCCCCTAGAGTGTTAAAAATAATTCATACTTTTTTTTTCCTTATTAAATCCCAGGTCGGTATTCCTATCAAAGCTCTCAGTTTTCTTCTTATTACTAAAAATGACGCATTTTAATTGTTTAGTGTTGGTGCTTCTAGTTTCCGTTAAGTCATAGCTTAGTTGCAAGGTTTGCAAGTTTTTAGAGATTTAAAATTTTATATTCAGCAAAGGTGCTCTTCTGCATTAATATAAAACTTATAAAAACTTTCTAATATTTTTCACTCTCCACTGATAATAAATGCCGTAAGAAATCCGTCAAATTTGTTGAAACCGCTAATTAGTTCTTATATATGCGCTCAAATCTACTTCTTACGATAGTAAAACTCTCTTGGAATTTAATAATGCCCCTTCAATCCTTCATTATCATGCCTAGATATGCACCCTTTTCAAAGCAAGTTTAAAAGTTAGGAATTTTACATGAAGGTTGTTCTCACTTTCCTCTGAACGCCCTCCTCATTACAAAAAGAGGTTTTCAACAATTCTATTCTATTAAAGTAAACTATAAGCTAAATTTTTCAGTTGGCGTAAATTGTCAATCCATAAGTTTCTGGTTAAAACCATTTTTTTCCTATAGGTGAGCCCCAATAAGATTTATTGCTATTCTGAAAGCGTGGACGCCTTCACTTAGTACGTTTTATCTGTTTACAAAGATGCCGTTTTAAATCAAAGGGAGGGCTGCCTTGGAGTTGGGCGACTTCCGTTTGCTTCGACTACACGTTTCAATGCTCTTCTGGCCCACATGTGTATAAACGATAAAGCGTTCCTCTTAAAGCTTTGCTTTTTACTTCAGCTTTTTAACTTTTAATGCCCTCTGGTTTTTCATTTCTACCTCTATGCCCTGAGGTGGTAATTTAACTGGTGCTTTAAAGATTTCTCATCTTTTATCAAAAAAGTAACTGCCAAAAACAACACAAACCACATTAGAAAAGCAAAGTTAACATTTTTTTAGTAATTTTCCCAACTGTTT